TTCTACTGTTGTTGAGAGACCACCGTCCAACTTCCCTCCCGTACCTACGTTAAATTTATCATCTCGTAACTGAGTAAAAGAGGCTCGGGAGTCTTTAAGATGCGTCCGATGTTTGTTTGTTTGTTTTTTCCCTGGTGGCGCTGAAGTCTCTAGTGTACTTAGTGGATAAAACAAACCCTTGATTCTTTTAATATTCGTAAGATAATTTATTCCCTAAGGGTTTAAATTCTCCTAAATACGTAAATGAGTCGAAATAAACCTTGATTTTTTTTTAATATTCGTTAAGGTAATTTATTCCTTAAAGTCTAATTTGTTCTTTTTGGTACATATGATAAATTTATTTCCGGTAACAGGGGAAAAAAGTCCTGGACGAGTCTAGTTTAGTTTGATAGGTTTTGTTCCCGTGGATAGTGGTGGTGCTGGTAGTGATGATGGTGCTGGTAGTGATGATGGTGCTGGTAGTGATGATGGTGCTGGTAGTGATGATGGTGCTGGTAGTGGTGATGGTGCTGGTAGTGATGATGGTGCTGGTAGTGGTGATGGTGCTGGTAGTGATGATGGTGCTGGTAGTGATGATGGTGCTGGTAGTGATGATGGTGCTGGTAGTGGTGATGGTGGTAATGGTGTTGGAAGTAATAATGATATCACTAGCAAGTCTACGGACTTGGCGCACCCTTATTCAACTACTACAAATCAAATGATACTAATAATGTAAATTATGGTGATAGCGGTACAGATTACAATTAGTGTCTATAAATAACAGTAATTACAGTACAGATAGTGACCTAATCCACCATAAGATAATTAAACTAAAACAACAACAACTACAAATTTCTAGATCCGTATTCTCAAAAAAAAAAAACACAGTGCTTCCTTTACCATAAGATAGAAAATTGCCTTCAAACGCATCTCTTCATCTCGGGTTTAAAGACGTTGGCTAAAATGGTATCGAAATTTCACTGGGACTCGCAAGTGACCAGCTGCTTTGTTTACTTTCTAGTTAGGGGAAAGAAGAAAAAATCCCGTGTTTTGTGAATGTTGAGTTAGGTATATTATAAGATACACGTATAAGGGATTATTTCATGGATCTCAGGGGGTGAAGATACTTTTTTGGGTGTATTTGTGAATAGGAATTATTACTGGTGTATCTTTGTGTGTATGTGTACAAGATTGGATAATAATGTGTTTATATGTGTTTAAGAGACTTTAATAGGCCCTATGTGTACAGGAGACATCATTAGTGTGTTTTAGTATGCATTGGTGACTTTAATTGTGCGTCAGTAGGACCAAGCTCCCTAGTGTGATGTGTTAACAGCCAGGCTTTAAGGTGATCCCCTCAACACTGTGTATCTACCCAGTCCAAGTGAATATATAATAACCCTAAATAAACTATCAATGACTCCTGTACACACATGGACATACTATTAACCTGTTCTGTACACACACATATGTAGATACACTTCAACCTCTCCTATACACACATGAGCACACTATTAACGTCTCTTATACACACATGGACTGTGTGTATTACTGTGTCCTATACACACACAGACACAGTATTAATATCTTCTGCACACATACAGTACATTATTAGCATATATATACACACAAAAAACACATTATTAACATTAGAGTAAGATTAACATAAATCAATCTTAAAGGTCAATATTAGTCGACAACTATTAACACGACAACAATCACTGCCACAACAACCACAACCACAACAGCCACAACCACCACAGCAGCATTGATAGTGAAGATAATAACAGGTTCTATTATCTGACTCATTTACAGATGAAAAAAATTAAATAATAATAAATAAAAAATAATGAACGTGTATCTGGGTTGGTGAGGCGAGAGTGAGCAAGGTGTGATGAGCCCGCTTGGTCGTGTTATAAAATGGTGAGCGGCCATCGTCACTTCCTGCTAATTGAATTTCTTGACGGAAAATCTATACCGCAATTGTCTCGTTGGGAGGAAAGAGAGAGAGAGAGAGAGAGAGGAGGTTGGGGAACTGAGGTAAAAAACAGGAAGATTGAGATAGGAAAGGAGAGAGAAATAAAGACAGAGAGAAAGAGAGTTAGGGAGAAGGAAGGAAGACTCAGTAAAGATATGAGAGAGAGAGACAGACAGATAAATGGGCTACAGAAAAGGAAAATCAGTATAAAAGGCTGAGGAAAAACAGAAAAGGGAAATATAGAGAAAAAGAAAGAAAAAAGAGGAAAACTGGATAACTGAGAGTAAATGAAAATACAGTAAATGGAAAAATAAAATAAATAGGAGACAGTGAAAGGTAGCAAAAGATCTGAGGTGTAAAAAAACATGAATTTTAAAAGAAAAGAGAAAAAATTGTATCTCTTTTATAAATTCAGAAAAAACAAAGATACATTGTTCAATTTTCTCGAAAGAACTGGAATATTTTTTCTTTCTTTCTTTCTTTCTAATACAATACAACCAACCCAACCCTTTCTAACACAACATAATCTAACCTAACACATCCTAACCTAACACATCCTAACCTAACACATCCTAACCTAGCACATCCTAACCTAGCCTAACACATCCTAATCTAACACAACCTAGCCTAACACATCCTAATCTAACACAACCTAGCCTAACACATCCTAACCTAACACATCCTAACCTAACACATCCTACCCTAACACATCCTACGCTAACACATCCTAACCTAACACATCCTAACCTAACACATCCTAACCTAACACATCCTAACCTAACACATCCTAACCTAACACACCCTAACCTAACACATCCTAACCTAACCTAACCTAACCTAACCTAGCCTAAAGAATCCAAAGACCATAACCACTATCTCATACCTTAACCAATTAATGACGTCATTCTCCTCTCCTATGATTTGGTTTTCTCTGATTGGCTTAATATTCCTCCACTCCTCTCTGATTGGCTTAATATTCCTGCACTCTTCTCTGATTGGCTTAATATTCCTGCACTCTTCTCTAATTGGCAGAATGATTGGATAGTTCATATACGTGGCAAAACATGGCACTGGTTGGCACTTTTCTTAATTAAACATCGAACAGCTGAGGGACTTTACCACTGCTTAGGTTTATAGAAATTAAATTAAATGTTTTATTTTAATTTTGAGTCTACACACACACCACACACACACCACACACACACACACACACCACACACACACCACACACACACCACACACACACACACACACACACACACTGGTGAAGCGTTTTTTCACGTTTTAAATATAATATAAACATAAACTCTGCCCTATGAATACATTATGAGAGACAGACAGACAGACAGACAGACAGACAGACAGAGGAGGAGAAAGAGTGAAAGTGAAAGAAAGAGAGAGAGAGAGGAGAGAGAGAGAATGAGAAAAAGTAAAAGAGAGCGAGAAAGAGAGAGGGGGGACAGACAGACAGACAGACAGACAGACAGATAGATAGATCATGTAACAGTGTATGAGAATAAAGTTGGTTGGCAGCATTGAAGGAGACAATAACAGTGTAAGAGAACATGTTGGTAATGTTGGCAGTACTGGAGGATGGGTGATAACAGCGCCCTCATTATCATAGTATCATGAGGTGTGACAGTAATGGGCTAGTTGCATGCATGACAGTCTTCCTCCCTCCCTCCCTCCCTCATGTGTCTGCAATATGACCTAACCAAACAACATTAGCAAGACTGTCATGTGTCAACGTCATAATTACCATCATCATTACTCTCTCTCTCTCTCTCTCTCTCTCTCTCTCTCTCTCTCTCTCTCTCTGCGTGTCTTTTTAGCTGACTTTGTTTGGTACAGGTGTGTTTGATTTAATTTATCTATACAGGTGTGTAGGAATCAGTGTCTTATTACAGGTGTGTGTGGACAGATGTGTATGATATAAAATATTTTCTATAAGTAATAAATAATTCTTCAATTCAATGATTGTTCTATGACGTTACGTAAAAAAATAATTAATTAAATGACTGAGTATACCTTCTAATTACCTACAGGTGTGAAATTGATCCTCTCTAAGTGATTGCTGTTAAAATACTGAATTATTTATTAAAAAATTTCGTATATGTATTTAGCGAATTTTTTTGTTTATATTTTTTTATTGTTAACGAGATGCATAAAAACTATCATTCGTATTGAAATTGTAGTAAAAGAAGTAGTAGTAGTAGTAGTAGTAGTTGGTGTTGTCGTAGTAATAGTAGTAGTAGTAGTAGTAGTATAGATAATGGTAATAATCTGTATTTATAATTCTAACTCTACCAATCAAACCAAAACGAACTCATAACAATACTGGTACTTAATATTTAATGACGTGTAATGAGTCCTTGTAAACACTAACACAATAATACATACGCTATCAGGTCCGCCGGTCCATCACCCCACAGTCCTGAGTCTACCATTGAAAACCACTCACTTAACCACAAAGACGTGAGTATGAAAGGCAACAAGTACAAAAGATTTATTAATATAACAAAGAAAACAATTATATGCGTTTGAGAGCTTTAATTTCAAGGAGATATAGGCATTAGTATAATTTATAGGCGTGATATCTGTTGTTAATGAGCTCGATGTGTGTTATGGGGACTATGAGACAAGTAAAGTGATTCGTTTACTCAGTGGTTCATAGTTGTATTGGTTGGGTTCAGGTGTTGTCTCGCTGCTTCATCTCACAGCCACAGAGATGTAAAGAGACCATCTTCTGCTGGGTATAAGACCTGTGGGTTATCTTAAGTGACGTTATCTTAATTGTCTCTCGTGCACCATTATCACCACCATACTCTTACCACTATCTCCACCATACTCCTACCACTATCACCACCATACTCCTACCATTATCACCACCATACTCCTACCACCATCACCACTGCCACTACGATTGCTATCAACATCCTCACCACCACCATCCAAACCACTACTACCTTCCTACCTCCATTTTCATCACCACCTTACCACCACACTCCACACCAGTCCCTTAACAGTTGTTTCCCTTCTTCAGGTGGGCTGTTCGACCCTACAGACGATCGTCAGGAGGTCGCCTTCAGATACGCCGTCGACGCCATCAACAGCGACAGAACTTTACTGGCCCACGCCCGTCTGTCTGCCCAGATTGAGGAGATCCCACCCAACGACTCCTTCAGGGGCTCTAGGAAAGGTAGGAGAAAGCGAGAGAAAAGAGTGATAGGGAGTGAGAGAGAGAAAGGGTGAGACAAGAGAGAAAGTAAGAAAGAGAGAGAGTGAGAGAGAGAGAGTATAGAAGAGACAGAAAGAGAGAGAATTTTACCGTCTTAGGCCCGTCTGTCTATATTGATAAAGGTCCTCTTAAAAATGTTCTTTAATAATAAGTTGCCTTATTACATTTAACTTTGAGAAAAGGTAAACTTATATAATAGATTAAAGTAAGTTCAAACTATTTTAATAATATTTCATTGTTATTTAAACTTTTGTGTTCTTATATAGTGAGATTATTATTATTATTATTTTTATTATTATTATTATTTATATTATTATTATTATTATTAACTGACTCTCTTCTACACAGTCACTATGCCAGTCGCTACCCCAAAGTGACTGTCTCCCACACAGTCACTAATCCAAACTAACTGTCTCTCCCACAGTTTGTTCACTTCTTAAATCTGGAGTCGCCGCTATCTTTGGTCCACAGTCTGGTCAAACCTCATCTCACGTCCAATCGATCTGTGACGCTCTGGAAATACCGCATATAGAGAATAGGTGGGACTTTAGACTTACCAGAGACGCGTACTCCGTCAATCTCTACCCCCATCCGTCAACTCTAGCCAAGGTAAAGTCCAGTTTATAGTCAATCCTTACCTCCTCCAATCAACTATGGTCAAGGTGGAATAGATTTCTTTTTTGTTGTTTTTTTTTAATCAATTCTCTGATCAAACTAGTCTTCTTGTTTATACTCTGTCAATTTCTATTTGTTTATTTGATCATATCTTTCAATTCATCTACTCTAAAGTAAAGTCCATCTATGCACTTACTCCATCAATCTCTATTTCTATTTACTAATTTTAGCTAAGGTGATGTTCTTTCCCTTACTAAAGATGTGAAAATGTATTGAACTGAGTCATTATAAGCTACGATATAAAAATATTCTTAAAATATCGTAAGTTAGAATTTTGCCTTTAGTGCAAATGTGAGAAGGTGTAGCAATCTTTCACTCCAGTCATGATACAGAGATGGATTCCCAAAGGCTCTTAGATTAAATTTCCATTTTGAATTCGAACCTGTGATAACGATAAATTAAACACACGACATTAACCTGATAGCCAACAGGAAGACGAATTTAACACAGAGACTCGGAGCGTAATTGTACCTCATTATATCACCAGTTTCGTGAAAAATATTAAGGCGGGAATCTTGTATAAAAATGTGGACCAGCATCTCAGATAGTGGTTAAGTGAGGCAATCCATCAACTTCAACCAGAGATGCAGCTCATCCATCTTTTCATCCATACGACAGATTACGTGTTTTACTGGAATGAGCTCATCCAGCATAATCTTATCTCCTTTTGTTCGTATCTTAAAAATACTTTGGTATGATGACCTACATAGACTCATAAATCACTAGGGGTCATATTTTGGCAAAGAAGTGTAGTGGGTTAGGTCAGGTCAGGTCAGGTTAAGTTAGGTTAGGTTAGGTTAGGTTAGGTCAGGTCCTCACTTGAATACTCACCGAATCATTTTGCGATTCAGTTTTGAGAAGTGAATGTCATGTCAAGTACGTTTGTTGACATGGTGTTGGGGTTCGGTCATCGTGTTAAGCAGTGTCGTGTTAGTGCAATGCTGACCTTCACCCCTGATTATTTTTTATTCTTAGCTAAATTTTCGAAACTGTGTAGATGTGATAATGGGTAAATGAACCAGGCGAAACGAGATAATGATTGTAGTAATAAGAATAATAACAATCACAGAAACACACCGAACAAATACTTCATACCAAGCCTCTTACACAAGCAGTAATGTTCCTCGATGCACACCCAGCATCTGAACTAAGAGTGTTGAGCAAACCCATTAAGTGTTTCCTGAGGTGATAAACTGTGTGTACAGTTTCAACGGCACGAGATAAACAAAGCCGCTTCAGACGAGAGTTACAGCTACGGGAACTCACATGCAAAATTTCCTAGAGGCGGCGAGAACTGGGTAGAAACTGGTGGTGTTGAAGATCTCGGGTGTTTCCCTCGTAAAAGAGCGCCAGTACACACAAAAAGCGAGCGTTCGTTCGTCTGGCGCGCCTCCTCCCACAAGACCTGTCATTGTGTGGTGGAGGAGAATGCCATTGTCCGTACCATAAAAGAGGCACCACTGCAGGCAGAAGGCGGCGATCGTTCGTCTGATGTAGCTTCATGAGCGTGTCGTTATAAGGGCTGGAGTGGGACTTCAAACGCTGTTGATTGTTCGTGTTGGCGTTGTGATGGTGTTGAGCGCCATTAGGATGTCCTCCTCGACGGTATAAATAACTGATAGTGAAATTGAATGACATGAAAGTTCATAATGCTGAAGAAATCTTTAATGATATAAACATTTGATGATGATACTAAACATTAATGGTTTTATTACTTTATCTATTGATGTTGGAAGCCATTACAGTTTTAACCATTACAACTCCATTATTTGGGTACCATTGGTGGGTTAACGAGCAGAGCGAAGTGGTAAGATCAACACCCACCATCACATCTACCTGCAGGTTCAGTTTCACCTTCAGGAGGATCTTAGGAGCCGGTGGTAGTAATTTGCGACGAGAGAGAGTCGTGTTATCTGGAGTTCACAGTAGTAATCTCAAGTCAGTCTGATATGTTACTCAGTTCCCCAATGAGCCCAATTTAGATCAAGTGGAGAGAGAGAGAGAGAGAGAGGTGGATCTTGGGTGAAGGTGACGGAGGCTTGAGAGTCTTTATTGTGAAGGCTCCGAGCACCCAGGTAGACGAAGGACTATATAAATAAATGCCTCCGCTAACAAGAACCTGTTTAGACGCTGATGAGGTGTTTAATATAATGGGAATCAGAATTTAGATGGATGGTTGTTTTTTGTTCCCCGTCTAATAGTATGACAGGGAGAGACACATATATAAACTAGGGTCTCTATCTGTCTGTACGTCTGTCTGTCTGTATGTTCCGAACCAAGTACTTCAGTGGATTACTTTGAAACTTTGCAATAGCTCCCTCTACCTACAAGAAATAATACACATCCATAGACTTTTCCAACAAAATAAAAAAATAAATAAAAATAAAAGGATTATGAAAATTATCATAGTGATCACATTCTACAACTTCTGCCTCAAGTGTCATTCCTCTCATTCCTCTCATTCCTCTCATTCCTCAATTAATATTCATTTTATTTCCGAAACATCTGACTTTTGTTTTGTTTTTTCTCGAAGACGCGCTATAAGTCGATAAAAAAAACGTTAATATTCTACCAGTATTTAGTCAAGTGAGAATCTTTGATGAGTACCGAGTTGTGTATCGTAAGTACCTCTAAATTCCCCCTCCCCCCCATCCCCCCCATCCCCCCCCTTCCCCACAACACGAGTAGCTGTTATCATTATCCACCCTCTCTGGTTACCACACTTGAGGGATCTGCTGTTAATCTCTCAATCTAGTAGTTGTCACCCGTTGATGTGTTAGCTGTGAGTGATAATCGATTACCCACACACAGACACACAAAGATCTCTAAACTAGGGTCTCTTTACCCCCCCACTGCCAGGCGTATATGGACGTGTTGAAGACTTTGGGGTGGCGTAAGTTCTGTGTCATCTACGAGAACAACAATGGTCTCGTGCGTGTACAGGAACTCCTCAAGAACTACACCTGGAAGATTAACCTCAGACAGCTTCCAGTCTCCGACGATTACAGGTGAGCCCGCAAGGTGGCTAACTGACCCCTTATTATTATTATTATTATTAGTAGTAGTAGTCGTAGTATTGTCATTATTATTAGTATTATTATAGATAGAAGTAGTAATAGTAGTAGCAATAGCATTAGTTGTAGTAGTAATAATGTTACTAGTAGTAGTAGTAGTAGTAGTAGTAGTAGTAGTATCACTTCTAATCTGCCTATACTCCCCGCTATCAGTGACACTTACACAATATAGACGCCAACTTTACCTTAATATCTCACTAGGGAACACACTTTGTGCATTACTGTAGAGAGAGAGAGAGAGAGAGAGAGAGAGAGAGAGAGAGGATTGGCTCCCTAAGTTAGCATCAACTTCAAACTTGAGGTGAGATTACCTACTTAGTGAGGTGATTACTGGGCTAAGACTGAATCTAATGAGCCAAGGTCACTCTTGAGCTAAGACTGAGATTAGGGTATGAGATTACTGTGATAAGACTGAGAATAAGGGAGACGTATTGAGAGAAAGACATTACATGGGGAAGACTGCCACTGGGAAAAAGACTGAGTTAAGACTGATACTGGTTAAGACTGAGGCGAGACAAGACTGAGATTACCTACAGCTAAGACTGAGGAGAAATATTAAATAAAAGTTCAATCAAGTTTTTGTCATTATCATTATCACCATCAGTATCATTCTGTGGAGATAATTACATCATTAACCTAAATTATACAAACGTAGCTTAAGATAACTCGTGTTGGTGAGTTATATAGTTTGGTTTATCACACTAATATACTCCAGGTATTATAGGATCATCATTAATATAATTTAGGAGGACTTTAATTACCTGACTATATATCTCACCAGGTAACCCAGAAGTCTTATTCATTCATAAGTCTCTAGATACGAGTGTTTACCTGTATACCTGTGTCAGTCTATTACAAAGGTAGGAACTAATACCTCACATTATACATACATTTAGCTGAAAATTTTACACCATTGTATAAAAAATTCCATTATATTTAACGACAGATATTTCTTTGTGTAGTTATATTGTATTAACATTACCATATATGCTCAGTGACTTGGTAGGTGTAAACTGCCTGAGAATATGTGAGAAAGAAAATGACATGATATTTGTAGGAATTTTCTCTTGACTATAAAAAAAAAAAAGTTTCAATTCAAGTAATGAGTTTTATATAACCACTTCGCATAAAAGCTATCTTGTAGAAGCAGACAAAGGTGTCAAGAACATGCTCCAAACACCAACTCACAACAACTGTTCTCTCTTGGCTGGCAAAACCTCCTCTTACCCTCATTACACGACGCTGAGAAAACTGTATGTTCAGTAATAACGCTAAAATTATGAGCCTATTAAATTTTGTTATGCAAAGTGTCTCCTACCCCCTGCCCCCTCAACCCCCCCCCACCCCCCTCCCCCCCCCTAAACTTGGGTTAAGAGTAATAAGAAATATTTTTTGTTTTAGTTTTCCCTTAAAAAGAAAACAATGTTATGAAAAAGTCCACTTAGTTTGTGTAGCCTGGAGCATAGAGAGGAATATGGGGGGGGGAGGGAGTCTTGTAGCCTGTCCAGAGTTAGGTGTGGGTAGTCTTGTAGCTTGTCCAGTGGTGTAGAGGAGGGAGGTAGTCTTGTAGTACACCAATTCGTTCAGATCTATTGAAAAAATATTATCCCCTACAGCCAGACATCTCTTCTCAATCACATACACCAGCCAACCTCTGTGTCTCTCTCTCTGTATCTCTTATCTCCCTGTCTCTCTCTGTGTCTCTCTATCTCCCTCATCCTCCTGTCACTATATATTACTTGCCGACACAATCCATGGCCTTCTCGTCACCCAGACCGATGTTGAAGGACGCCAAGAAAGCCGGGGTGACTCACGTTGTCTTGGATGTAGAGCGTAAGAACATCTTCAACGTACTCAAGCAGGCGCAGCAGATAGGGATGATGACCTCCTACCACAATTATTTCATCACCTCCCTGGTAAGTTTGATGACGACCTTCTACCACAACTACTACCCCTATGTCTCCAATTATTGTTATATGTGGTGGTTTATAAAGGATGTATTCACCATTCTTTAATTATATTATTATTGATTTATTTACTAATATATCCTGCAAGATCCTACACACACTTACTCTCGCCTCCTGCAGGATCTACACACAGTGGAGCTAGAGGACTTCCGTCATGGGGGCACGAACATCACCGCCCTCAGGATAGTCGACCCAGAGAACACCTTGGTCCAGCGGGTGATACAGGACTGGGTGTTCGGTGAGCTGCGTTACGGCCGCACCATAGATGCCCCGACCAGCACACTCAAGGTGGGTGTGTGTGTCACTGACGATGTACATGTGTGTCTCAGTATTGGTGTGCGTGGCTTCTGGGTCTTGGTGGTGTACATGTGTCAGTGGTTGTGTATGTGTGTGTCAGTATGTGGTTATATATATATATATATATATATATATATATATATATATATATATATATATATATATATATATATATATATATTACATACTGATTATCACAGCCTGTTGTCCTGTCACATAATCTTTTTTTTTAATATTGTTAATTTGTGTTATATTCGTCATGTCTCGTTGTCAGTATTTCCCGGACTGTGAACCACATCTATATATCGTAACTAATTTAAAAGGTTTGATAGATTATTTTAAGGAAAGATAGACAAATAAAGGCCCCCACTAAAAGGGAAAACATACCAGGTATAGGTGAATGACTATCAAACGTCAGGGTCATCCATTTGATGGGAGTCGTCGTGCGCCAGGCAGTGTAGTCCTTTTCTATTTTGATATGACGTTGCCAGTCAGGCTGAAAGTGTTGTACGCCTGCCTGGGGGGTAATGGATGGCCTAAACGAGGGTTTGTATTTAAAAATGCGTGTTTTTAGTTTATGATAGCTTTATTGTGAATAGTGCTGGGAAACTCAGCTTTACTGTATGTTGCAGGGAAACTCCGCTCTAACTTATGTTGCAGGGAAATTCAGAAATACTTTGTCGTACAGGGATATTCTGTTCTACTTTTAGGACGGGAATATATACCTATCATAGTACAGGGATAGAATAACACTTTACAGTTTAGGGAAATTCTGTTGTACCTTAAAATGTAGTGAAAATCTGGACTACTTTATACTACAGGAGTCTATTATATTGTACTCGTAAACACAAGACTCACAGGTACTACTCTAACGTCACTACTATAAACACCTGTCAACATTTAAACATAGATAAACAGACTCATCCTCATCATAAGGTTCAACAAGGATTTTAGTGCAATTTAAATGGTCCGTGGAGAGACACATTTAGCTTGGTGATTTCCATTTCAATTTACTTTATTTGATAGTGATAATTAAAGTGATAATTGAATGTTGTTTACACACACACACACACACACACACACACACACACACACATACACACCTTCTCTTCCTTCTCTTCTTCCTGACCTTCCTCCTCCCTCTCTTCTCCCTCTCTTCTCCCTCTCTTCTCTCACGTCATAATTTCCTGCCTCGACCACCACTGTCAACAGGGAGGGTCACGGCTACCTCCACATTGATATGGAGTCATCAGTACCACACCTGCCCAGAGCAACACTGTCACACTCTCCACACCTGTACAAAGCAATACTGTCATACCTACCACACCTGCCCAGAGCAACACTGTCACACCTACCACACCTGTACAAAGCAATACTGTCAAACCTAATTCTATCAATAGAAAGTCTACGGACTTGGCGCACCCTCATTCAACTACCACACCTGTACAAAGCAACACTGCCACACCTACCACACCTGTACAAAGCAAAACTGTCACACCTACCACACCTTCCTAGAGCAACACTCCCACACCTGTACAAAGCAACACTGCCACACCTACCACACCTGCCCAGAGTAACACTGTCACACCTACTACACCTGCCCAGGGCGACATTGTCACACTCTCCACACCTGTACAAAGCAATACTGTCACACCTACCACACCAGTACAAAGCAATACAGTCACACCTACCACACCTGCCCAGAGCAACACTGCCACACCTACCTCACCTGTACAAAGCAACACTGCCACACATAATTCTATCAACAGAAAGTCTACGGACTTGGCGCACCCTCATTCAACTACCACACCTGTACAAAGCAAAACTGTTACACCTACCACACCTGTACAAAGCAACACTGTCACACTCAGCACACCTGCACAAAGCAACACTGTCACACCTACCACACCTGTACAAAGCAAAACACCTACACCTACCACACCTGTACAAAGCTACACTGTCACACTCAGCACACCTGCACAAAGCAACACTGTCACACCTACCACACCTGCACAAAGCAACACAGTCACACCTACCACACCTGTACAAAGTAACACTGTCACACCTACCACACCTGCCCAGAGCAACACTGTCACACCTACCACACCTGTACAAAGCAACACTGCCACACCTCATTCTATCAATAGAAAGTCTACGGACTTTGCGCACCCGCATTCAACTACCACACCTGTACAAAGCAATACTGTCACACCTACCACACCTGCCCATGGCAACATTGCCACACCTACCACACCTGCCCATAGCAAAACTGCCACACCTACCACACCTGTACAAAGCAACACTGTCACACCTACCACACTACCCAGAGCAACACTGTCACATTCTATCTATCTATATCTATCCATCCATCTATCTATCCATCCATCTATCCACACACGCCACACAATACAACTGAGGGAGGGGAAGGAGGAGGAGGACGACTCGCTGACCAGGCAGGTAACAAGGCCTTACCGCCATCCATCATTCACTATTCTCAAATTACTACAGGAACTCCCCCAGGCACCTACCCAGTCAGCAATCCCGTGGTAAATGGCATTGTGTCATGGTCGGTGATATAAGGGAAATAGGTCCCTTTGTGTCCATCTATAAGGGTGAGGTTTAGGTGTAGTTGAGTGTGAGGGTAAGGGCAATTTGGCTGTCTCATATCTGACTAGTGGACGCGAGGGTAAACACAAGTTGAATCGCATCGTCGTGCCCACAACAGTCTCACATTTCGCCTTTCCCTAACAGAACGAATATCTCTCTCTCTCTCTCTCTCTCTCTCTCTCTCTCTCTCTCTCTCTTCTGGCGTCTTTTTTTTCAATTCCTCAAACAATCATAGGTCTATATTTCTTCGTTTCGTTGGTTCAAAAGTCTAACCTAATCTTTGGAATAGTGAGCCGTCGTGCCAGTGAATTTTCGAACCATTGAACCTTCGAATCAGTGAACCTTTGAACCAGTGAACCTTCGAATCAGTGAACCTTCGAACCAGTGAACCTTTGTACCAATAGAGACCATCAGGACCTAGGTAGTCTCCCCACTCCCCCTCCCTCTCCCCCCCCCCCCCTCCCCCCCACCCCCCGCTCCTCACACAGTAACAAAGACACAATCCATCAGACTTGTTCCTCTTCACACGTGTCATGGCTCTCAAGTCAATAATTGGTTGTTTTACCTCATATGATGCGAGATATTAACAGTCAATCACTCAACCACGACAAACAGTTAACCCAGGAATGGAAATGAGATATCCCCCAGTTGATACGAGTGATGAGCTGAATTATTTTGGTTAGGTTAGGTTAGATTTGCTTTGGTTTGGTTAGATTTGGTTAGGTTAGATTTGGTTTGGTTAGGTTGGGTTAGGTATGGTTAGGTTAGGTTAGGTTAGATTAGGTTAGATTAGGTTAGATTAGGCTAGGTTAGGTTTATGTTGACTTTAATTTATATTTAAGACATTGTTTTTAAGGAATACATATATTAACTGTGTGTGTTGACGTTAACGATAAAAAACTCTCTCTCTATGTTGACGTTTTAAACTACCATAAGTCATAGTTAGAGGGAGGGGGATATATGTGTGTTAGTTCCGAAGTAATATGTCATAGTTGTCAAGGAGTTTGGCATCAGGTAACCCATTCTAATAATAGACAAGACTACGTGACATAGTAATACTGTCATAGATAACAATTGAGATTACAGTAACAGGATCTAAATATCTAATTCTTTCTATCACTGTAACTTGTTTCAGTATCTTTGCGTCTATACTCGTTCTATCGCTTATGAATTAATAAAAAACAAAAGAAAGTGCACACTGGGAGTGTATATGGAACCAATACTGAGTTATATAGTATTAAGTATCACCATTCTCGCCCTTCACTTGAGAATCATAAACACAATGATCCTACAACTATAAACGTTTGGAATATCGAAGTGGCTGACAAAGGGAACTCAAATTACAGTATTTACACTCGTCAGTCAATCCAGTTATCTATTCTGCATGTTAAACACTTATGAAATATAGATATTTATCTCTGTATACCCATCCATCAGCAAGACTTTAAAGTTGAATGAAATATATTCTCTCATATTGTCCAGTGATATCGTATTATTAAACTGGTGGTGGAGACAGACCAGCTGCACAGTTCATCACAATGTATCTCTAAATTGTGGCCTCAATGTCAGGCTTGTGTATTACTCCGCTGTGTTTAATAATACGCAATAGGTAAGCCGAACTAGGACAGAATTCATCATTTGCATGTATGATGGGATGTCATTCAATGGTTCAGGCGTCGTTACACTCCACAAGTTTGCATATTGTTGCAAAATATATTAGAGAGAGAGAGAGAGAGAGAGAGAGAGAGAGAGAGAGAGAGAGAGAGAGAGAGAGACACGCGGCTTATTACCAAGGAGATTATGTCGTAGCTTCACTTATTGCCACACACACACACACACACACACACACCGTCCAGGCACCCAACCCATCATTCTTAGATTCTGTTTTAACACCTCGAGACACAGATGACAGAGTAACCAAATTTCAAGCTAGGAATGTCTACTCCACCATAGATAAAGACAAACGTTATATGATTAACTTGAGTGATAAGACATGGGTGATTGTCATGTAATTAAGGAAATATATAAACTGTAGGTGGGGTGAAGGAGGTGAATGGTGAATACATTTACTAATGGGAACTTGTGTGAAGTAGAGGTCGTAAGATAATGACTTGTACTACGAATGTTATTGAATAGAGGTTAATGTTGGTTTGTATATGAATAATAAAATGAATGAGAATGAAAAGTAATGGATTATCAACATAAGTGTATAGCTATAGTGAAGGAATGACTTAGAGATTATCATTGTCTCCAGCTATAGAACATCACCCTACATATGTGAATGAATTTACATAAGAGGATAGACATACCTTTTGAATAAGAATATATCCAGGTGAAAATACAGACTTGGTTTAGAAAGGTGAATTGAATTATCTAGATACAGTTTATGTAATGTTTTTGTGGTAGTTTCAGGAGAGTTTAATATCGTAAGAGCTTTGATAAGAGTATTAATGGTTGGTATAATTGTTACTTAATTATACTATGAGTGAAAGTCATTATGTTTGTGAGAGAAAGTATTTGTGTGTTGGTGAAAGTTATAAAACAAGTATATTTTTTTCTCCACTAGGCTATGGATTAAAGTTAATATATTCAAGGCAGGTGTAGTAATTGGGTGAGCTATCGGAAGACCAGGCAGGATATATAAGACCAACAGGATAGATTAGTGACAATCATTACCTGGGGATTACTGTACCTGTATTATAGCATGTTAATTAAAGTACAGTCACCAAAATACCTGTAATCAGTCGTCAAAGTCTTAGTAATGGTGATGATGTCTCTGTTAAAAGTCTTAAGTTTGAAGTAGATCGCGTGAGTCGCCAGGAAAGTCTTAAAAGTCTTAGGGGAAGGTGTCAGTGCCTGGTCCCCCCCCTCTTCCTCTCCTGGGGCCGGTTTGTTATGATAATAATTCGTTTCTTATCCTTATCACGATAGATAGATAGTGTTATGTTACTGAATTCATTTTAGTATGGCCAACACCTAGATAGCTGCCTAGTGTTTACCTATATATTAATTTCTTTCATGTTTATTGTATTATTTTATTTATTTTATGCTTGCTTAGTTGTTTTTGTTTTTGTGGTCATGATGTTTAATAAATTGCCATCAAACATTTGCATCCTATTTATAGTAAGAGAGAAATATATAATGTATCGATAATGCATGACTATTTAATTATATTTGTTCACTCTATTTAAAACAGATCATATATTTGGAATGATTGTGTTTGCTAAATAGGATCTCGTTTCTCCTTTCTGTTGCAGGACAGTAATATGACTTTCTTGAAGGTAAGGCGACAACAACACCACTACCCCCTCCCACCCATCTCCCCTCCCCCTCTTGGCCTAAACTAACTAAAAGCACAACTTGAGTCACATTAACCTAACAAAAACAATAAAAAGTCAAATAAACAATATAATAATAAATTTTCTATACTAAGTCGCACGAGGCTGTAAAATTTCTTAGATACATTCAAAGTTTTCTGAAACCAAGTAAACTTTTGTCCTCTGAGAATATTTTTACTTCTGACGAAAATTGGATCAACTTTTATTGGTGGTAATTTTAAAAGGGATAATTGTTGATAAAGTTTTAAATGTGTTATCAAGAGTTGCTTTGTGTTGCGGCCGTCAGTTCTGTAATTATTATATACGAGCATGGTTGTGCTTTGAGGGTACTGCTATATATATTCTATTGGTAAATCGTCATGAAGGTCTATCCTAGCTTAACCTAACCTAACCTAACCTGACCTAACTTAACCTAACCTAATCTACCCTAACATATCGAAACGTATTGCACCATAGCCTATCCTATCCTAACCTACCCTGTCTTATCCTGCCCTGCCCTGCCCTGCCTTGCCCAACCCTAACCTAACATAAGCTAATGAACCCTTACCTCCCCCACCCCACCCCACCCCACCCCACCCTACCCCCCACCTACCCCTACCCCTACCCCCCCACCCCTACCCACCCACCCACCCCCCCACCCTACCCCACCCACCCTACCCCACCCTACCCTTATGACCAACAGATCATGAGAATATACTGTAGTTCCTGTAGTCTTGGCCATGTAGAGACCATCCAGCCACATACCCGTAGTTCTTCAGTAGTATGGATAGTCTTAAGAGCTCGTCCACCTGGTCCAGTAGATGTGTTCTTCACGAGAGCTGAGAAAAGGTTTGTTTCATGTACTGTACACTCTTGAACAATTGCACAACGTAGATATATTAAGTTTGTTTTAAGTGTGTGTGTGTGTGTGAGTAATACCTGAAGATTAGACACCCCAGCTTATTTAACTTGAAGATTAATTACCCTAAAGCTTGTCTAACCTAACCTAACCTAACCTAACCTAACCTAACCTAACCTAACCTCTCCCTAAAGCATGAGTGGTGGTTATTCTTCAAGTGATATTCTCTGGGGTGTCTAATCTTCATGTGATACCGTTTCTCAAAGGTATTAGATTATGTTGGTGTTTATGACATTGTAGAAGCGTTAGTAATAGAGAATTTATTTAATGATACTAATGCCTTGTAGGGATGAATTCATAGGCTTTGATGTGTATGAATAAAAACACGAAATTGAATGAGATATAAATCCGTTTTGAGTTATTGAATGGTAGTGGCGGTACGAGAGAGAGAGAGAGAGAGAGAGAGAGAGAGAGAGAGAGAGAGAGAGAGGAGACGGGTGAACATTCGCTTGGAGGAAGTTCTAAATAATGAACCTTTTCGCGTGGTAGAGGGGAACGCCTGGCGATGTGGGGTGCTCTTGCTGGTGAAAGTGATGACGTTCACCACACCAGGAGCTTCACCCACACTAACAACGCCACCGGATATCACTTTAAGATACTAAATTGCCGCCAATATCGCCAAATTGCCGCCAACACCGCCAAATCAAGCCTGATACGGGTAAATGGTCCCAGATTCCTCACCTCCACGCAATATATTGTCCGGAAAATGCCATTTTCTTCCCTTAGGGAATTTCTGAAGACCGATTTTCCTCCGCCCAGAAAGTGAATTTTATCTGTACGGCGAAGTGATTTTAGATCCCTGGAGCTGCGTGCGTGCGTGTGTGTGCGTGAGTGTGTGCGTGCGCGCGTGACCTTTTAATCAGTTTCCAACAATTTCCTCGTCTATTTTGGTAAATTTCTTCAAATATTAGAGTTTAGATGGGTAACTTATTCACTAAGCCTCGCATCATGGTAAAAGACAGGAAACTCCATCACGTTTCCCTGTGATAGGATTATTTCTCTGTGTGTGTTTATCACGAGGGTCAGAAACCTTATGAATTGCCTTAGCCTCCGTGTCTGCGGCTGACACTTAACTCATAACAAAGAGATTGTATGTATGAGGCGAACAAGTCGAGGGAAGACCTGCCTGTCCCCTTCACCCCTCGACCGAGTAGGTTTCTGATGTATTAAAAACTCTGGCTCAGTGACAGCTCAGCCCCGAGCTTCTGTGGGACTCAGCAGAGAGACACGAGTACTACCAACATCCCCCAATGGCCTCCTTATACCTCACTCTACCTCTCGTGCTGACCTCACACTAGGCCAGTAGGTGAGGTCCTTATCCACCACACACTGAGGCAGTAGGTGAGGTCCTCCTCCACCACACACACTGAGGCAGTAGGTGAGGTCCTCCTCCACCACACACACTAGGCCAGTAGGTGAGGTCCTCCTCCACCACACACACTGAGGCAGTAGGTGAGGTCCTCCTCCACCACACACACTGAGGCAGTAGGTGAGGTCCTCCTCCACCACACACACTGAGGCAGTAGGTGAGGTCCTCCTCCACCACACACACTAGGCCAGTAGGTGAGGTCCTCCTCCACCACACACTGAGGCAGTAGGTGAGGTCCTCCTCCACCACACACTGAGGCAGTAGGTGAGGTCCTCCTCCACCACACACTGAGGCACACACATACTTCATTGTGGCCTTCATATTTACCACACACTAGGGCGGCAAGTAAGCACGTCCCTCGCCACACAGGCGTGTCCACACATCCAGCGGGTGTTGACAAAAGCTGAGAGTGTCAACACTGGAGAAGCTGGGTATTACGGCCGACTGTAGGACGTGCGAGGAGGAAAGGACAAGCGTTTTGCGTTTGTTGATGTTCCATGTTTGTAGGGAGCGAGTAGTAGGTAGGAGGGACTAATGTACACGGGAGGTATATGATGGCTGTGTGGCGCGAGTGTAAAGCGTCATCACCAGACTATCATTTACTCACAGCTTAACTGAGGCCGCAGAAAACAACAACAGGTATATCAGTGTCCCGTGTTTGTGGTCAGCTGAGACTAGTGTGTTGTACCTCTGTATCAGCTGTGAGGTAGGTACGCGTCTTGCTTCAAAGGGACACCGCATTATTCTCACAATCTTCTCCCTACGTGGAAAATATGAATGGACAGAGTTTAAAATAGTTTCTTGCTACATTTACCAGCTGTAGCAGTCTGGCTCCTTCTCACGGTCTGGGTACAATATTTATCACCACGACGAGATAAAGAGGAGCCGCCTTTAATTTAACCTTATCGATGAATTTTAATTTATATCCTGAAGTCAATTTTACTCTTCATTATTCACGAAAACAATTCACAGGATGTTAAACCAAATATAGTGTGATTATTCAAAATATATAACAGGTCATTCACTATTCAGAGGAAATTCATAATAGTGAGGAAATATTCATATGTTTTTTACTGAAGGTTCAATGGTGACACGTGGCGTTTGACTCGACAGTTTTTAATTATTTATCTTAAACATTCCTTTGACTACAGACAGCACTACAGACACCACTACAAACAGCACTACAAACACTACAAAAGACACCACTACAGACACCACTACAGACACCACTACAGACACCACTACAGACACCACTTCAAACACTACAAAAGACACCACTACAGACACCACTACAAACACCACTACAGACACCACTACAGACACCACTACAGACACCACTACAGACACCACTACAGACACTACAAAAGACACCACTACAGACACCACTACAGACACCACTACAGACACCACTACAGCATCCAATAATTGAGACAACAAGTTCGGTTTTAAAGACATATCATTGAGGTACAGTGCGTCAGTGGAAGGTTACAGCGGTACAGTGAATGAATGAAAAGGTTACAGCGGTACAGTGAATGAGTTCAAGGTTACAGCGGTACAGTGAATGAATGAAAGGTTATAGCGGTACAGTGAATGAGTTCAAGGTTACAGCGGTACAGTGAATGAATGAAAGGTTATAGCGGTACAGTGAATGAGTTCAAGGTTACAGCGGTAGGTTAGTTCAAGGCGGTACAGTGAATGAATGAAAGGTTACAGCGGTACAGTGAATGAGTTCAAGGTTACAGCGGTACAGTGAATGAATGAAAGGTTATAGCGGTACAGTGAATGAGTTCAAGGTTACAGCGGTACAGTGAATGAATGAAAGGTTATAGCGGTACAGTGAATGAGTTCAAGGTTACAGCGGTACAGTGAATGAATGAAAGGTTACAGCGGTACAGAATGAGTTCAAGGTTACAGCGGTACAGTGCGTCAATGGATGGTTTCAACGGTACAGAATGCAAGTAAAAATCCTTGTGTATGCATTTATGTTATATATGTATATATATATATATATATATATATATATATATATATATATATATATATATATATATATATATATATATATGTATATATATGTATATATATATATATATATATGAGTGTGTTTATACGTTTTTAAGCATTTGTGTATGGCCATAATAAGACATTTGAAGAGAGAGAGAGAGAGAGAGAGAGAGAGAGAGAAAATTGCGTCAATGTCAAAAATAAATAAACTTATATAATGAAAAGAATACGATAACAGGTGTACAAGAGAGCCATGATAACTGGGGGATGAAGATAATCTGATAACCTAACCTAACCTAACCTAACCTACCTCGTCCAGTTAAGGGAGAAAGATATTGAATGGATCTTCCTTTGTGAGTCTTGACCAAAGCTTCTGGCGGAATCCGACCACCCCAGTCTTCTTTTATCTTCAGCTGTTCCTCCCTCTCTCGTTCCCTCCCTTCCCCTTCCCTCCCTCCTTCCTTCCCTTCCTCCTTCCTTCCCCTTCCTCTTCCTCCCCCCCCCCCTTCTATTCCTTTCCTTTCCCCCCTTCTCTTTGTTTTCGTATGTGTGTCTAGAGTGAAAGAGAGAAAACGACAGACAAAAATGATAAACAGATAGAGAGGCATAGAGAGACAAACAGACATAGAGACAAAGAGAGAGACAGACACAGACACAACCTGACAGAGTTCAAATTCCCTCGATACAAGGAATATATCGCCTCTCTCAACCCCGGTATTGTGACGTGTACAAATCAGCTTCTCCGAGTTATAAGACACTCCCCTTTCCCCTCCTCTCCCCTCCCCTTCCCTTTCCCTCTCCCCTCCTTACCCTCCCTTTCCTCCCCTACCCTCCCTCCCCTCCCTCCCCATCTCTTCCCTCTCCCCTAGCCCTTCCCCTCCCCTCCCCCATCTCTTCCCTCTCCCCCTAGCCCTTCCCCCTCCCCCACTGCCATCATGGTCTTGTTATAACGCGTCTCAGGTACACTTTGCTGTATACATATCCTTGTTGCCCGTATCCTGGTGTATATGTATACTGGCTGTACCTTACGTATCTCAGATGTATGTTATTGTATACATATTCTAAGTATACATACCCTAGTTATACAGTGTTCTAAATACATATTAGGTATACATTGTTATATACATATAGCCTGAATATATACTATAATACATCCGTGTTTATCTTACGTTAAAAAAACATTATAATTCTTACTGTTAACGACACAACTACGAAATATCTACCAAACTACCAGTGACCTTAAACCATTGACCTCATAATTCCAATACAACAAAATATAAATTATCCTTATAAATCAGTAAACCAATTTATCAACACTTCTGGGGTATGTTGTCAAAATAAACAGACTGGAGGCCACTTCAACACCCTCGTGGACTGAGTTAAAAAAACACCACAAATCCGATCATAGCATAAAATATAGGTCACTTTACCTGATATACAAGGCAAATCTAGGTTCCTGTGACACAATGGTAGGTGAATATGTGAGGGAAGATGATATTTATGTAAAGTCAATTTGCCTGAATTCCCTCTGAACGGAAAATTGGAATACTCATAAGACACTCACTGGAATTACCATGTTTAGGTCTTCATACATAGAGGTTACCTGGTGTGTGTGTGTATGTGTGTGTGCGCGTGCGTGTTTGCGTGTGCGTGTGTGTATGCGTGTGCCTTTTCGACAGCTGTAATATTTATTTAATTTGACAATATTTTACTTAGAGAACCAAGTGTATGTATGTGTATACTCTCTCTCTCTCTCTCTCTCCCTCCCTCTCCCTCTCTCATCTGCCCTATAGAGACTCAGCACCAGGACAAAATACCCCAATTTAGATTTCCATAATAATGACGGTGAGAAGATTCCTGTTGGGTGATGCTGTCCCATCCCTATCACACCCTGCACCACCCTGTACCACCCTGCACCACCCTGTACCACCCTGTCCCATCCCTATTACACCCTGTACCACCCTGTACCATCATGTTCCCTCCCTCCCTCCCTCTCCCTTACCTTCCCATTCTTCCTTCCCTCTTTATCAATCCCTCTCCCTCATCACACAATCCCCTACAAATTCCTCTTACTCCCTCTCATTCACTCCCTCTATATTCCTTCACACACACACACACACACACACACACACACACACACATGTACGATCCTCAACCACCCAATAACCACACACACTCTCTCTCCCACACACACACACACACACACACACACACACACACACACACACATGTACGATCCTCAACCACCCAATAACCACACACACTCTCTCTCCCTCTCACACACACACACAGACGGAGGTGGCGCTGATGTATGACGCGGTGCAGCTCTTCGCCAAGGCCCTACACGACCTGGACCGCTCCCGCCATATCGACGTGACGCCCCTAGAGTGTGACGGAGACATTACCTGGGTCCATGGTAACTCCCTCATCAACTACATGAAGTGGGTAAGTGTCTAATTGGTCCATGGCAATTACTTATTAACTACCGTATTTCATGGCAACTCTTCACTCCCTCCCTATTCCATGAGGAGGGAGAGTGTGGAGGGGGAGGGGGGTAGGGAGGGGAGGGAAGAGTTGTAGGGGGAGGATAATAGGGGAGGGTGAAGAGGTGAAGAGAAGAGATGAAGGGGGTAAGAGGGGGGTTGAAGAGGGGAAGATGGGGGCGGGGGGGGGGTTGACACGTGTAAGTTAATTAGTTTTTCATGTCACCTGAGAAAAAATAATAATTTTCACGGTGCATTTGACACGTTGAGGTAACACTAATCCACCAGATAATGTGATATTATTAATGGTTCGGTGAGGTGAGGTTTGGTTAGGGTGTCTAATCTTCAGGTGATCTGGTATATCGTGTGTGGTGATACTAGGTCAGGTCACTGCACCTTTCCACACGTAACTCATACAACATTAAGCAGATTCACACCTGAGACACCTGTGTAAATCCGACCATTTAAATCTTCGCTATTTTTATCTTCTTGGACGATGTGTACCACCTGTTGCCTGCTACCTGAGAACCTAATGGCATCCGAGTCTCAAATCTTCCTACGTAATTTTTTCACTCGTTTGGAAATATGAGGATGTATCTAATTGGTTCATTTAGCTCCGAGACAAAGTTGAATTCTCGAACGTTGTTATGCTAAATATCTCCTCTTGCTCGAGTTATAGGGACAATGATCTGCCTTTCTTAAGCTACGACTCAAAAATGGATTCTCAAATGTTCGTACGTCAAATTTTCCACATAATGGAAAGATGAAAACGCGTGTAAGGAGGTCACTTGAGCGAGGAGTCAAAGGCGAATTCCTCAAAAATCCAACGTTAGGTTAGGTTAGGTTACCCCTGGCGTAATGTAAATATGAACGTACGAATCTTTGACAATGTGGAACTGGCATCCCTCTGACTTATCTTAACTCAAGAGGATTTACAGGACAATGTTGATGTCGATCTACGTGACAAATAATGAACAGGAAACTTAATAAAGAGGCAGTACTTCCTCTCAGGGGTTAGTAAAGATCCAACAGGTGTGCAGGTATGACCATACTCCCAGGTGTTGGTCATAGATGTGTGTGGTGATAAAGTCGTGTTCAGGATTTTGTGGATCTGGAAAATGTAAGATGATTTGTAAGATGTGTCGTGTTTTTTCCTATGCCAAGCCACAAATTTACTCACCCACCCACTCACCCACCCACACCCACCCACCCACCCACCCACCCACCCACCACTCCACCCACCTCCCCTCCCACTCCACCTCCCCACCCACTCACTCCCAAGACATTCAGGACCCCACGGAAACCCCCTCATAGCTCCCACTCATTTTTCCCTCCCCACTCACTCTCGGTCTTGCCAGTTCCATCCATTACTGCGGGTTCTTCAGTCCACCTTCTTAACCTCCTCCGTCTCTCCAGCTTTACCAAAGGTCACTCAGGATTTACAATATATAAAAGCTTGTGCTGAAGATGTGAATAAATTTTCAAACTCTTGTGATGTGGGGGGGAGGGACAGGTTAACACATCTTTGGTTTATTGTCCTGGTTATATTTCAACACATCTCTGGTATACTATCCTGGGAGGCTGATCTCATCACAGCCCTGAGAGATCTGAGAGATGGTCACTTAGTGGGTGATTCTATACATGAATGGAGGGAATACATATCTGTATTGTCTCTGTATTGAAGGTTATGTATACTAACCCTCTGTAATATTTATGTAATATAATACCTGTATCTCCTGTAATACTTTACGATAAATAACAGACCCCCCAAAAAATCAAAATCATATAATTAAAAAAAATAACAAAATTAAGAAGAAATTACGAGGATATTACAAAGTTAATTAACTGTTCATATAAGCTGAAAAATCTCTCACGGTGCATTACACAGTGTCTTAATAACCTAACTTAACCTAACCTAGCGGTGATAAGAGAGCATCATTCACACAAGAGTTATATAAATAGCCCAGGAGTTAAGAAATTATCCAAATAACGGTAAACTGGTGGATAAATGATAACAGGTAGTGGGGTGATGCCAGGTGAACAGGTAGTGGGGTGGTGCCAGGTGAACAGGTAGTGGGGTGGTGCCAGGTGAACAGGTAGTGGGGTGGTGCCAGGTGAACAGGTAGTGGGTGGTGCCAGGTGAACAGGTAGTGGGGTGGTGCCAGGTGAACAGGTAGTGGGGTGGTGCCAGGTGAACAGGTAGTGGGGTGGTGCCAGGTGAACAGGTAGTGGGTGAGTCAAGACAGGTGATTGAAGAGGGACATAAAAAAAAAACTTTATTCTCCAGTATATCGGAAAACAATTTATATATACACTATAAAATAAATGACTTGGTTATACATTAGATCATATAAGAACGTATATAATATAAACCAAAGTGTATAAATTGTATAGAATTGAGTTATATATATATAGAACCCTCCTATGGCCGCTCCATAAAGACAATAGTTAGACAGTAAGCATCTTTATAAACAAAACAAATGCTCCTTTATGACAATAGTTAGTGAACGTCTTTATAAACACCAACAAACGCCGTTCCTTTTAGACCCGAGACACACGCCTTAAAAATCTTGAGAGAGTGAAGACAGTGTAGCTAGATAGCGCCATTAATCTCTCACCCTGTATAAATTCATCCTATATTTTACAACACCTGAGGCACATGGCAGGCGAGTGTCTCTAACGCGCTGAGACATAAAAGTATCTCTCACATTTTTGTAGGCACGTGGGTTTATGTATGACAAGATGAGATATAACTATTGTATTTTATTTCACACACGTTGAGACACATTGCTATCTCTTGTATATGTCTCTCTTATGATGAGAGATAAAAATTAAGTCTGTCTCTCACATTTATATCCGATTTACACAAGATCAAACACAAACACCAAAAAATTCTCTCATTTTTTGTCTCACACTCACACTGAGACATCAAACTATCTATGTCTCTCACGCTAACACACACAAAAAAACTATTCCTCATTTGCATCTCTCATTCCCTGTAGGCTAAAACCACCTCTTGTCTCTCTCACTATAAGATACAAATTTGACTTTAACTTGTATGTGTTTAGGTTCTAAGCTGGACCTTGTGTGTGGTAATTGGTGCAGTGGCGTCGAGATGTTTGGGTTTATGTACGCAATGGAAGGGAGGGGGAACGGAGAGGGAAGAGGGACATGGAGAGGGAGGGGAAACAGAGAGGGGAGATGGAGAGGGAACGGAGAGGGAAGAGGGACATGGAGAGGGAGGGGAAACAGAGAGGGGAGATGGAGAGGGAACGGAGAGGGAAGAGGGACATGGAGAGGGAGGGGAAACAGAGAGGGGAGATGGAGAGGAGGGAAACAGAGGAGATGGAGAGGGAGAAGGAGGGAAAGCAGAGAGGGAATGGGGAAAAGGGAGAGGGAATGAACAACAGGAAAAGGAAAGAGAGAGAGGAGGAAGGGAAACAAAGGGAAAGGGTAAGAGAAAGAGGGAAAGGAAAACAGGGGAAAAGGGAAGATAGAGAAGGAGGGGAGAGAGGGAAAAGAAGAGGGACAGACAGACAGACAGAGAGACAGACAGAGAGACAGACTAGTAAATAAATAGACAGAAAACAAGGGATAGAAAGTAATTGAGATGGGGAGAATCAGAGAGAGAGAGAGAGAGAGAGAGAGAGAGAGAGAGAGAGAGAGAGAGTCAGAAAAAGAAAAATCTGTGAACTAGAGAGAGAGAGAGAGAATAAAGATAGTGAAAGTGAGATAACGTCGTCGGGTCTGCCTTCCAGTCATTGATCAGCCCGGGAGTGTTTGTATTCATATATTCTTCAGTGCTGATGAATGGGTCTGGCGCTACACGGGGGTTTATCCTATACTGGTGTGTGTTAGAGTGTGTTGGGGTGTGTTAGAGGTGTGTTGGGGTGTGATAGAGGGTTGTTTTAGAGTGTGTTGGGTTGTGATAGAGGTGTGTTGGGGTGTTGGATATGAGTTATTTAGAGTATATGTTGGGGTGTGTTAGAGGTGTGTTGGGGTGTGATAGAGTGTGTTGGGTTGTTTTAGAGGGTGTTGGGGTGTGTTGGGGTGTAAGAGGGTGTTACTGGTAGAGTGTGTGGTGGAGGATAATAAACCCCAGCACTAATACTTTAATATTTACCTTCTTCAGGAACAAGGCTCCCCACTAGCAGCACCTACCTCTCCTTACATTAAAGCTGGTCCCTCCTGCTGGCTCTTCAACTCATAAATTCTGAATTTTTTGGCTGACGGAGACGAAGAGTTAGTTTAAATTCCGCTCTGGTCCGCCTCATCATTGTCGCGGTGAGGCCCTAGTGAGTGGCTCTACTGGGGACCCTGGGGGACCCTAAATAAGACCTAGGAAGGAGGCCCTGAGTATTCTACAGAAGGAAAACCATTCAGGGACATTATCAAAGGGGGGGGGGGTTGTTTTAGCAATCCTATGATGATCAGGGGTATCCAAGTGAGGTACCCTTTTGAGTTCCTTTGTTAGGGATTCTTGTGGTGATGTAGGACTCCGACTAGTAACCCTGTTGAGGATTCCTTCGAGGATTCTTGCAAGAAGTTATCGTGGGAGACTCAGGGTCATGTTAATACACTTTGATAACTGATGATTTATTTTGTTTTTAACCTTAAAACAACAGGAAGAGAAATAAAGCAGTACTACAATCACTACTAGACACTATAGTCACCACCATCACTAACAACCACAACTACTTCCTTGATCACCACCATCACTAACAACCACAACTACTTCCTTGATCACCACCATCACTAACAACCACAACTACTTCCTTGATCACCACCATCACTAACAACCACAACTACTTCCTTGATCACCACCATCACTAACAACCACAACTACTTCCTTGATCACCACCATCAGTCTCACCACCACAACCACGACTATCACCTCAACCACCACTACCACCACTACCTCAATCACTCTCACTACCAACACCATCACCGCAACTAACACGATCACTATCTCAATCACTATCACCACCACCAACATCACCACTATCACCACCAGCACTACCACTGTCACCACCAACAACACCATCACCACCACCACCACCTGTCACTCCACCTTAAAATAGAGGTGTGGTGGTAAGCTGGTTGTCACCTCACCAAATCCGCTGCCAGTTACTGTGAGGTTTTCCCTGTTGTGGCTGTATGTGGGTAGTGGTGGTAGTAGTGGTGGTCGTAGTGGTGGTAGTGGTGGTGGTAGTAGTGGTGGTATCTCATAATACATACAAACTTTTGATGCCCCAAAAACTAAGACATAAAGAGAGTCCACACACACACACACACACACACACACACACACGGGGTTCATTTGATCGTATCGAAGCGAAATTTTCCAACGTCGATTTGATGAAGCTTTGTGCGACCACCGCTGATGATCCAAGCTTACTCTCTTCAATACCTCATAACCCGTGTCAGGTCTCATTAGTCTCTAGCGCCTACGTCAGCGAGTACGTTTACGCTTGCTTCTGCGTCAGCATCTGTATCTGCGTTAGCGTATGCATCATCGTCTATCTCAGCGTTTGTGTCTACGTCGGAATCTGCCTTTGTGTCAACGTTTGTGCTTGCGTCAGTGTTTGTTTTTTTATCTGCGTTTACCCTTGTGTCTGTGTCTGCATCTGCGTTAATGTCGGCATCCCAAATAGTTAAACTTTTGGATCGAACTGTACCAAATCAACCCCCCGCCCCCACCCCACGCCCCGCCCGGCCCAGTAATACAACTGAACGGTACTTAGCGTAAACTTTGTGACAAGTCGGGTGAGTTTGCCGCGCAGTGGGAGAACTTGTACCCACTCCGCGGAAATTTGGGTCCAATTTGGCTTCGTTATTATTATTACATTTGTTAGTCAAATTGAACATCAATGGCATAAAGTTATTAGCTGATGTCTGACCCTCTGAAACACCTAACAAATCCCACCGGACAAAATTCGGCTCTGGACAAAATCCATCATTGGACGAAAAAAAATTCCCAACAAACAAGAGATCAGTCCCCCGCTACTCAAGCAGACAATGTTGCCGGCACTGTATTCGACCACCTTCACTTCCTCAACTGTAAAATTAGGTACCCATCCACAGCTTGGATTTTCTCAGGGTAAGAATTCTCTGCTAAGATTTTTTTTCCCAGCGGAGTTTTGTCCCAGAACAGGAATGGTTCAGCACAGCCATAAACTATTGGGGAAGATATAAGAGGTGTGTAGGAGACGTCGAGACCAGGGACTAGGAACACTACAGCTGGCCAGGAGATGTAGAGGTGGAAGTGGGGTGTTAAGGTGGTGTTGTGGTCCTCGAGGCTTATTAGACCAACTCTTTGTAAACTGAAGCCTTCTAGTGTTACCTTATGTAAGACGAGGGTTGTCAAGGCTTTTAGCTCTGCAACTCGAGATTTCTACCTTTGAAGCTTCGAATTCTTGTCCTTTATTTTGAGATTTCCTTCGCTTGAATCTTCTAATCCAAAGCTTCCAATCTTTGAATCTTCTTATCTGAAGCTATTAACTCTTGAAACTTTTAATCCGGGGTTTCCCTTCCTTGAATCTTAGAACCCTCGGCTTCCTGCTCACGAAACTTCTAAACCGAGGCTTCCAACTCTTGAAGCTGCTAATTCAAGGCTTCGAAACCTTGAAACGTTTAATCAGAAGCTTACTCTCTCCCCACCCAGGTCCAGGTGAACGGGCTGACAGGTCTCATCAAGTTCGACACAGAAGGCTTCAGACGTGACGTAACGCTTGATATTGTGGAGCTGACGAAGGAAGGACTGGACCGTGTGGGCAGGTGTGTGTCAGGCAGGTGTGTCGTGTGTCAGGCAGGTGTGTGTCAGGCAGGTGTATCGAGTGGACAGGTGAGTGTCAGGCAGGTATGTCGCGTGAACAGGTGTGTCAGGCAGGTGTGTCGTGTGGGCAGGTGAGTGTCAGGCAGGTGTGTCGTGTGAACAGGTGTGTGTCAGGCAGGTGTATCGAGGGGCAGGTGAGTGTCAGGCAGGTATGTCGTGAACAGATGTCAGCTGCAGGTGTGTCGTGTCAAGCAGGTGTGTCAGGCAGGTGTGTCTTGTGAACAGGTGTGTCGTGAGCAGGTGAGTGTCAGGCAGGTGTGTCGTGTGGGCAGGTGTGTGTCAGGCAGGTAGTCGTGGGCTGTCAGGGAAAGTGTCAGCCGTGTTTGTGTGTGTGTGTGTGTGTGAAAGGGAGAATTTACAGGCCGGCAATCCAATATTCATTCGCTTTATGTCCAGCAAAATTACCTGTGTAGCCCGATTTTAATCAACTATATTTGTGTGGGTATAGACTGTGTATCTAAATTGTGTCTGTGTGAATATACGCGTGGAGAGAGAGAGAGAGAGAGATTTGTATGTTACCCAACTCAATAGTCTTTTATCTAACGCGAAATTTACTTGTATATGACAATCAAAAAACGCTTATGTGTGTGTGTGTGTGTGTGTGTGTGTGTCTATTGTGTGTGTGTGTGTGTGTGTCTATAAAGTGTGTGTGTGTGTGTGTGTGTGTTTTTACGTGCGAATACAAATGTTGTGTTTAGAGAGAGAGAGAGAGAGAGAGAGAGAGAGAGAGAGAGAGAGAGAGAGAGATTATGCAAATTAGCCAATCCAATACACCCTTTATGTCATGCAAAATTTACCTGCACAGAGAAATATTAATTGGTTGTACCTGTCTGTGCCCTGGACCAGGTGGGACCCAAACAATGGAGCCAACTATACCAGAACGTTCAGCGAGGTACAGCAAGGCATCGTTGAGAGCCTTCAGAATAAGACCCTCATCATTACTAGCATTCTTGTGAGTCTTTCCGAGTCTTTAAAGGAACATTTTGGAGTTCTCTTGGGGGTCTTAGTGTACAGGAGTCTTTTTTTTAAGGATAACAGGGACTTCATTTTAGGTCTTTGTTGATATACAGGAGGTCTTTCCGAGTCTTTTAAGTACAGGAACACTGGGAAATTTTTAGTCTTTTTTTTTTAATAGACGGATACATTGTGAGTCTTTTTAGGGGGGGGGGGGTTAATATGAGTCTTTGTCGCCTCCTACCTCATCATACCTTATCATTATATCCAGGTAGATTTTATCATTATACCACTGAGAGACATTTACATCATTTATCAACATTATCTACACAGGCTGCCCTTTCACTGTACTAAGATAGACATCATTATCATCATCATCATCATCACTATACCATAAGCTACCCCTAAGCTATATTAATATAAACATCATTATCACCATCATCATCATCACTATACCATAAGCTACCCCTAAGCTATATTAATATAAACATCATTATCACCATCATCATCATCATCAATATACCATAATCTACACCTAAATTATACTAATACAAACATCATCACCATCATCATCACCATCATCACCATCACCACCACCATCACCATCATCACCATCATTACACCAACAGGCCGCCCCTTACACCATGCTCAGGGAAACGTCAGAACAGATGACGGGTAATGATCGCTATGAAGGCTTCTGTATCGACCTGATTCAAGAGATTTCGCAGATCCTGGGTTTCAACTATACCATTAAGATCGCAGGAGACAGTCAGCACGGCAAGCTAGATAAGAAACTGAACAGGTGGAACGGCATGATTGGCGAGCTACTAGATCAGGTGAGAGAGAGAGAGAGAGAGAGAGAGTAAATCAAAGACAATAAAATAGAGTAATAAATAAAATACAGAAGAGAAAAACAGAAAAAATGTGTAAAATAGACAAATATAATAAAATACAGCTATAAGAGATAAAGAAAGAAATATAGTTAAAACGAGAGAAAGAGTGAGAGACAAAGAGAGATAAAGGGAGATACAGAGTATATATATAGTAGTATTTGTTCCTCCCTCAGAAAGCGGACGTAGCTATTGGGGACCTCACCATTACCTATGAGAGGGAACAGGAGGTCGACTTCACTATGCCATGGATGAACTTAGGTAATATGTCAAAACCTTTTCCCATTTTTCACTATTTTGAAGCTATTTTCCACTATTTTTTCATTTTTCCCCCACTAATTTTCAGGCTTTTTTCCAGTATTTTCTTTTTTCCCACTATTTTTCAAGCTTTTTCCCTATATTTTTCAAGCTTTTACCACTATTTTTCCCTTTTCCCAGTAATTTTCAAGCTTTTTTTCCAGTATTTTCCCTTTTTCTGATATTTTTCAAGACTTTACCACAAATTTTCCTTTATTCCATTATTTTTCAAGTTTATCCCACTTTTTTTCAAGCTTTTCTCTATATTTTCCAGCTTTTACCATAATTTTCCCCTTTTCCTACGAATTTTCAAGCTTTTTCCTTTATTTTTCCCTTTTTCACTATTTGTCAAACTTTTTTCTATTATTTTTCAAGTTTTTTTGGTCAATGTGTCTTCAGGTGTATAGTTGTTGATGTTATGCTGTAGAATTTTAGTTACTCTTAAGTTTTAATATAAGAATTGTGTTAAGTGTTGACTACCCATCACCTGAGAGAGGGGAGGACAGAGTGTAGCAAGGAAGAAGAAGAGGAGGTGAGAGGAAGAGGAGGTGGGAGGAAGAGGAGGAAGAGGAGGTGGGAGGAGAGGAGGAGGTGGGAGGAAGAGGAGGTGGGAGGAGGTGAGAGAAGAGGAGGTGGGAGGAAGAGGAGGTGGGAGGAAGAGGGAGGGGGAGGAAGAGGAGGGAGGAAGAGGAGGTGGGGAGGGAAGAGGAGGTGGGAGGAAGAGGAGGTGAGGTGGGGAGGAAAGGGAGGGGGGGGAGGAAGAGGAGGTGGGAGGAAGAGGAGGGGAGGAAGAGGAGGTGGGAGGAAGAGGAGGTGGAGAGGAAGAGGAGGTGGGAGGAAGAGGAGGTGGGGAGGAAGAGGGAGGTGGGAGGAAGAGGTGGGAGGAGGGGGAGGAAGAGGAGGTGGGAGGAAGAGGAGGTGGGAGGAAGAGGAGGTAGGAGGAGGAAGAGGTGGGAGGAAGAGGAGGTGGGAGGAAGAGGAGGTGAGAGGAAGAGGAGGTGAGAGGAAGAGGAGGTAATATCAAAGTGTGCGTGGGTGATTAATTATAGAAAGGGGAGAGTTGATAAAAATAGGAATAATGAGAGAGAGAAAGATAAAAGAGACAAAGAGTAGAACGGAGGAAGGGAGATAATATGAGAGATAGAGAGAAGAAGGGATGGAAAGATGGATAAAATGAGACAGAGAGACAGGACTGGACAGGAGAGAGAGAGAGATAAGAAAGAACGACTAATCAAGACAGACAGGCAGAGCGAGTGAGGGCAGCTGAGAGAGAGTAGGAAGGAGAGGAGGAAAGTCAAGAGGGAGTTTAGTCGTAGTAGTAGTCGTAGTAGTAGTAGTAGTAGTAGTAGTTGTAGTAATAATAGTAGTAGAAGTTATAGTTATTATTATGAGTATTAGTTTAAGGCTTCACGCCACTATTAGGCTTCACAATACCATTAACACTTCACAACACCGAGTCTTCACAAAACACCATCAAGTTTTCACAGCACCATTAAGGCTTCATCACCACTGAAGCTTTCACATTACTATTAGGCTCCACAGCACCATTAAAACTTTCCACCAATGAAGCTTTCACCTTGATTCTCCCTCGCAGGCATCACTATCCTGTACCGGAAGCCCACGAAGAAGCCTCCAAATTTATTCAGCTTCCTCTCGCCGCTGTCCCTTGACGTTTGGCTCTACATGGCAACTGCTTACCTCGGTGTCTCCCTCCTACTGTTCGTTTTAGCAAGGTCAGTGTATCTGTGTTGTGGGTGTGTCTCTGTGTGAAGTAAGAAAGTCTGACTATCCATAATCCCCCAAAAGCAACTTCGTAATTGAAATCCCTCTTTTGGTTTATATCTCAACAATAAGCTTAAAACCTAAACCAAGACATATAATAAAACATACCTAATACCTCCCAGTAAAAGGTTTATATTGACTGAAGTTGACCCTCAAACTTGTATAATTAATTCGTGGCTTTAAATAGGAAATAGATTCATAATTATAGGTATCTGTCTTTATATATTTCACTGGTATGGTCTTATATATCAACGTTATATTTTTTTTTCAAGATGTATTATAAAGGTGAATATATAACGTGTCTAGTAACACCTCATCATCACCTACCGTCAAGAAAATATACAAGATGAGAATACATTGAACTCTCGAGTCTTTCCTTAAACAAACAACAGAATATAAATGTTAAAACCAGATAAAGAAATGCCGTAGGTCAGTTTCAACAAGTGTGTAGAAGAACGGCTTTACACGAACGGCTTTACAAGAATGGCTGCGCAGGAACAGCTTTATAAGGACGGGTGCACAGGAACGGCTTTACAAGAACGGGTGCACAGGAACAGCTTTACAAGAACGGGTGCACAGGAACGGCTTTACAAGAACGGGTGCACAGGAACGGCTTTATAAGGACGGGTGCACAGGAACGGCTTTACAAGAACGGGTGTACAGGAACGGCTTTACAAGAACGGGTGTACACGAACGGCTTTACAAGAACGGGTGTACACGAACGGCTGTACTGTGCATTTACAAATTGGTGGTAAGACTTCACCTTAAGAACACTGAACCATTAATCGATGTAAATATTAAAACAATAATGTCGCCTAAGAGAGAAGTTGGAGGATGATTGAGTGAATTCTCTGGCTCCCTCCTACACCCTGGCTCCCTCCTACACCCTGGCTCCCTCCTACACCCTGGCTCCCTCCTACACCCTGGCTGGGACTCTACACATACTAATCTTTTTGTTCAAAGACTGACTTTTATTTCAGATCTTAATTAAGTCCAATATTGCTTTTATCTAGAAAGAAACTGTCTAGTATATATATTTTTTAAGATTATTTGTCTTTCGTTAAAACGTAAATAATTATGACGAAAACTTTTTAGTTTATGTAGAAGTTTCTTTAGGCAAAAATCTTCCTCCCTCCCTTTTCGCCAAACCCTAATCGTTTTACGCTTAATTCGTTTTATTTCTTGCTATTAGTTTTCCTCCAGACCCCCACTAGTTTTACGCCAAATCCTATTTATTAAAAGCCAACCCCTAGCACCCTAAGTCTTAGTACACAGTTAACACAACAGTACAAGGTTATGGCGCGCCTTTACAGGTTATCTCCCTACGAATGGTTCAACCCTCACCCTTGTGATCGATTCCCGGCCAAATTGGACAATGAATTTTCTCTCCTCAATTGCCTGTGGTTCTGTATTGGTTCTCTGATGCAGCAGGGAGGAGATCTCTTGCCCAAGTAAGGAAGATGAGGAGACGATGAGGAGACGATGAATGTGTACTCAGGAAGTGACGATGATGTTGACGATGAATTGCGTCTTGTCTAACGTGATGATAATGATGATGGTGACGATTGTGTTACGTGTGTCATGATAATATGAGTAATTTTGTGTTTGGATTTGCTTGTGTTGATTGTGTTCGTTAGGCCTGGGTTGTGTACTCATAATGTCCTTCGTCGGGGAATAAATAGAGAACAAAATATCGGTAAACATCGGTGAAAATCTACTTAAAAATTAGAGTAAAAAATTTGAGTAAAATTATCATTAGAGGAATAATAATCTCTAATAATAATAATAATAATAATAATAATAATAATAATAATAATAATAACCCTCGTAAATATATCAACAAAATGCTATTCCCTGAGGACATTAAAAGCGACAACCCTGGTGTTTTAACTTTAAATGTCACCCTTACTGCTGTTCTTCCTTCTCCCACTCCAAGATTTTCCACACGTTTTCTTTATATTACGAGTCATATGTGATATAACGGTGTCAGCTGCTCAAGGACACCAGACACACAGACGGACACAGAAGCTAAACCTAACTCAGCATAATCTAAAAATGTCGCCTTCACGCCCCAGTTAAAAACATTCTCTTTCTAAATTCTCGAAGATTAGTAAGTTAATTTCTCTTTAATAATCGACGACAAACGAGCGCTTCTGGTCACAGTCTCAGGGTAATTTTGGTGTTATCTTGACCGTGTGTTATTTGTGTCTCTTAGATAAGTTAGATAAATGAGGCTTTTTATATTTAGTTATGAGGAAAAGTTTTCTCGTAAGACTATTTGAGATTTGTGGTAACAGGATAGATGTAGCCGAGTCGTGGTCTTTATGGCGCTCGGTGTTAGTGGCTGTCCTGGCAGAAACCCCTAGTATGTTAGCTACTGTCTCCCTGTGTATTCAAACATCCGCTGTTGTCCATACTACCAGCGCCTATCCCAAAGGTTCACATTAAAGCGTAACCAAACCTAACTTAATTAACCTAATCTAACCTAGTGAACTTTATTGACCCTGTGCGAGTGTATTATGTGGGGGGTTTTTTCGAGGGTTGAAACGTGTACCATTACGATAACAATATAACGAGTAATAATAATGATTGTGTTGTGTGATTGGTGTCTGAGTCACTTCCTCCTCTATAGTCAACAAACACACCACGGAGAGGATATTTCCCTGTTAAACTCTACCTCATTTAGCTATACAGACTGTTATATTTGCATTATTATGGATTTAGTGTATATTATCATTATAAGTAGCTATATTAATGCTATTTATGGTGTATATCCTTATATATATATATATACATATATATAAACCGCAAAGCCATTAGTATATAGATAAACGAATGCCCCTTTCATGCTTGCTTCCCCTGTGTTCGGTGTTGTAATCAATGTGTCCGATTCTGTGCCCTTACTCCACAGGTTAAGTCCCTATGAATGGATCTCCTCCTTTCCCTGCAGAGAAGACCAAGAGAAAACTTTGGAAAATCAATATAGTCTCTTCAATTCGCTGTGGTTCACTATGGGCAGTCTCCTCCAACAGGGTACAGAGCAGCAGCCAAAGTAAGACTCGACAGTCAACCTTCACACGAACCAAACTCCTGGATGTTCACTCTCACGTCATTGTTTATACTTTGGCTTCATCGGTCCATTAAATGAGCTTGGCGTTGCCTCTAGCGTGTTTCTAGATGCTAGTAGAGGGTGTGGCTGAGTCTGCAACGTGCTAGAAGAGGGTGTGGCTGAATCTGCAATTAGTACAGGATGTGGCTGAGTCCGCAACATACTGGATGCTAGTAGAAGGACTGGTGGAACTATGGAGTGACGAAACTTCAGAGTAAACACGTAAAATATTCAATGACCAACGATACTGTTTTTTTATTTGTTTTTTTTAGTTCTGTCAATCAATTTCTTTTTCGCTGAGTAAACGTGATGTCAACGCTAATGAACCAACAAACTCTATCGCAAAATTAACTTTAATATTATGGCAGAATGATAAATAAGCTTCCCCAAATATTTAATTCTTTATTTCTACGTGTGAAGGGAATTAAATAGGGAATTAAATAAGACAGAAAACTTAAAAAATATATATTAGAAATGAAAGAGAAAAGTGATAAAAGTGTAGAAAATAAGAGAAAGACATAAATTGAGAATACTCCATTACTCCACACACCAAAACACGCCCATCTCCTCAGTCTCAACGCCATCGACAATACGAACACTGAATTTCTCACGGTTTACAATATTCATATCACTTCCTTCCTACACCCTGGACTAGCTTACTGTGGGACTCTCAACCACGATATATATTTTTACTGGATCATAGACTATAGCCTTCCTCCCCCCTGACAGCTCAAAATCATTCCTGCTTCAACTAACTTCACTCTTTGACGAGGGAAAGGTTTGATGAATATATTTAACTGCGATTCTCGTCTGATCTCTCCCTCCGTTAGTGTTAGAAAAGTGAATTAGTCTTCATTCTCTTCACGTATTCTTTCCTTTCGTGTTATTTAATGAATAGTAAGAAGGAAATTAATTCATTGGTCTTTACTGATGCCGAGTGATATTAATGCAATACAATTATTAAAGTAATCCCAGGTGAATGTTGTCCATTCGGTGAGAGATATTGTTGGGGGAATTCTCTCTCTCTCTCTCTCTCTCTCTCTCTCTCTCTCTCTCTCTCTCTCTCCCGTGTTGTGGTGGTGATGTTGCAGGAGGTTGTGGTTCTGTTGTAACGTTTGTGATGGTGTTGGCGGTTGTTATAGTGTTGTAGTAAGCGTGTGGTGGTGTCAAAAGGTTATTGTTGTGTTGTGGTGGTGTGTGTGTGTGTGTGTGTGTGTGTCTGTAAATGTATGTATGTATGTGTGTCTGTATGATCGTTCTTCGTTACGACTTCCGCCAGACCCAAGTACCTTCAGGTTATCTACTGTACAGGCTACGTCTCCCATCGTATCTCAAATCTATTATATTTTCTTACGGTAATATAACATCCACGATTGATATATATAATGAGTATATCTGATCAACATAGTAATAAGTATACTTGTGAATATAATGACGGATATATTTGTGTTGTTATTAATCAATTTATTACTTTTTTTTTCTTTTCTCTAAAATCATGAATCCCATTTTTTTTTCTTTCTTTCCAAAATCATCTTTCTGTCCGTTGTGTTTGTCTTTATTCCTTATTGTCTTTTATCTTTTAATTTGTGATTCTCTCTCTCTCTCTCTCTCTCTCTCTCTCTCTCTCTCTCTCTCAACTAACATCCTTTGCCCCATCACTACCATCCATGCTCGCCTCCTCTTCCACCTCTCTCACACTACACCCTCCCTGCCTCCTTCCCTCCTTCCTTCCTCCACCTTCCCTACCTCCCTCCACCTTCCCTACCTTCCCTACCTCTCTCCACCTTCCCTACCTCCCTCCACCTTCCCTACCTTCCCTTCCTCCCTCCACTTTCCCTACCTTCCCTTCCTCCCTCCACCTTCCCTACCTTCCCTTCCTCCCTCCACCTTCCCTGCAGGGCGGTGTCTACACGTATCGTGGCGGGTATGTGGTGGTTCTTCACCCTCATTATGATCTCCTCCTACACCGCCAACCTCGCCGCCTTCCTCACCGTCGAGCGCATGGAGTCTCCCATTGAGTCAGCGGAGGACCTCGCCAAGCAGACCAAGATAAAGTACGGCTCCTTGTCTGGCGGATCTACCTGGGGCTTCTTCAGGTAAATTGACTCTTCTTCTGTATATGTGTGTGTCTGTCTGTCTGTCTGTCTGTCTGTGTCTGTCTGTCAGCTTGGGGCTTCGTGCTCCCACCAGAAACTCAACAGTCAATCCAGGATCATGAATTGTATCAAACACATGTGATGACTTCTGGGATTCTGGGTCAGGTGGGTGTTATCTACTGTAAGTGTTGGCGGCCACCCAGCCAGTGTGTGTGTGTGTCACTGGGAAACGCTGCGTCTATGAGTTAGTGTATACGACCATTAACCTTCATTTGTTTATTCTTGGCAATGTTACATGACCCAACCTTAACCTATAGTGACCTAACCTAAGTATACTCAACCAATCCAAGCAAAACTAACTTAGAATAATCATAATCTAACTTCACCTTTAAGGACGATGGTTTAAGTTTTAATCCATCTTCCTCAAAGGGTTAAACCATCGTCCTCAAAGGGTTGATAAAAATTTTCCTTCAGTACATCAAAGGAAACTTCTTGTTCTTCTAAAAAAAATCAGACTAATAAAATATCTACATTTGACCTTTACAAAATTTTTATCTAAAAATGTTAAGAAAAAAATTCCACTAATTATTAAGATTTGCTTCAAAGAATAGAATAAACTTTTACTTCACTTCAGATAGGCAGTGTCATCTCCTTGGTCAAGAGTTGTCTGACACCGGGATACGTACTGGTGTTAAGAGTTATAACACCGGGATACGTACTGGTGTTAAGAGTTATAACACCGGGATACGTACTGGTGTTAAGAGTTATAACACCGGGATACGTACTGATGTTAAGAGTTATAACACCGGGATACGTACTGATGTTAAGAGTTATAACACCGGGATACGTACTGATGTTAGGAGTTATAACACCGGGATACGTACTGGTGTTAAGAGTTATAACACCGGGATACGTACTGAATTAAGAGTTTCAACCTAGAGAGTGTAAAATAAAAGACTTCTCTGACACGAAGTTTATCTCATTACCTCACAGTACCTCCAAGATGCCCGTCTACCAGAGGATGTTCAGCTTCATGGAGTCACAGAATCCCACAGTGTACACCAAGTCCAACGAAGAAGGGGTGAAGAGGGTGCTGAAGGGGGATGGTCAGTACGCCTATATGATGGAGTCGTCTAGCATCGAGTACATCACGGAGAGGTACTGCGATTTAACTCAGGTTGGAGGACCTCTCGACTCTAAAGGCTACGGTATTGCTCTCCCTCCAGGTAAGATCACACACCTGTTTTGTTATTTTAATAGGGAAATATTCCTCTTGTGTTATGTTTTATTTTGTTTTATCTACAGGAAGTAAAACATCAATATCAATCTCTATTGATGATGGGAATAAGATAATATTTTATTTTTAAGTTTTTATTTCATCTTTTGATATAACTTTCTTACCTGTAAATTTGTACAGAAAATTTTTAATCTATAAATATGGGTTTTTTTCTCCATTTTTCTACTACTTTTTAATGTCTCGTTCTTAGTATAGTTTTGTCCTTCCCATTATTTGGTAACTTTTTATTCGGTCACATTATTATACAGAAAATTTACGGTCTCTTATTTACACGATTAGTTGTCTACGAACGGTTGGTATTTCGTTTCTAAACATAAATTAGCCACTTGTATCTACAGGTGTTGAGTATAACCAGTGAGCCCTTGCTACTGTACCTTAATTTAATCAATATAATTAAAGAATAAATTATGTTATGGGTGTGTCACTGTTCCTTAACATGCAAGTCACCATGACGCAGCTGACTAAGATCAAGTGGGTCCCAGTCCTTAAAGGCCATTACCTAATCACTGGGATTCGGACCAAGTCATGACGATGCCCAGTCGTAATGGGGACACAGACCTAATGGGCCTCTAAACTAATGAGTCTTAATCAAATTAGGACCTACAGGGTACAGGAGGGAGGCTTAAGACCACACCTAAACACTATGTCACTTAACAGCAATAATTAATTCCCCAAATAAAATGCAAATAAACTGTGTCTGTTAGGTTAGGTTAAGTCATGGTGCTTTTGAAAGTCAATTTATTATGAACAGAACAAAGTCTTTATATGCGGCTACAACACAGAAATAAATTTACATCAATTATAAATAAATTAACTCTACTGACACTCAAAAATTCCCGTGTGAATATATTAGTACAAAATTTTAAATAAACAAAACGCAAATATAACAATAAACATATACCGTATAAATATTAATAAATAAACAAGTTAAATCGACAGTCATCATTTAAGTGTAAATATTTAGTGACAAGATAAATAATATAACTGGGTTGCTAGCCCAGGTGGATGACTATTAACAAAACACAAGCTCCTCATTTTATCCAATACAGTGTGTTCCTTCCCGTGTGACCTTAAGTTATTCTTGTAACTTCTTTCTTAGGTGCTAGAAAACGTTCAAATTAAATGCATGATATTATCTTTATCTGTCAAATATATTCATGTGTTTGAAAATAGAATTATATATAGAATGTATGTAATAAATATGTTTCTAGATTAAGCTGACCAAATTGTTACCAGCTTATTGATATCATTACGACCATGAAGTAATATTTATATACAAAAACTTGATTCTGTTTTGTTTTGTATCTTAAAAAAAGTCGACGGCTATAATCCATGTCAGAAACTAGTTTAGTAGAGGCAGAAAATAGGAAATATTCATGTCCTAGTATGGTAGAAGCAGACAGCTGTTACTAGTCACTATGGGAGACCAATGAGAGAGGCTAATGTGTGATGGTAGGAAATGTTGATAAATGTAGCCTTAATATATCGCTATGGTGGGTCATTAGTGTAGTACAGGTAGACACTATGGTGGGTCATTAGTGTAGTACAGGTAGACACTATGGTGGGTCATTAGTGTAGTACAGGTACACACTATGGTAGGTCATTAGTGTAGTACAGGTAGACACTATGGTGGGTCATTAGTGTAGTACAGGTAGGCACTATGGTGGGTCATTAGTGTAGTACAGGTAGACACTATGGTAGGTCATTAGTGTAGTACAGGTACACACTATGGTAGGTCATTAGTGTAGTACAGGTAGGCACTATGGTGGGTCATTAGTGTAGTACAGGTAGACACTATGGTAGGTCATTAGTCTAGTACAGGTAGGCACTATGGTGGGTCATTAGTGTAGTACAGGTAGGCACTATGGTGGGTCATTAGTGTAGTACAGGTAGACACTATGGTGGGTCATTAGTGTAGTACAGGTAGACACTATGGTAGGTCATTAGTGTAGTACAGGTAGACACTATGGTGGGTCATTAGTGTAGTACAGGTAGGCACTATGGTGGGTCATTAGTGTAGTACAGGTAGACACTATGGTAGGTCATTAGTGTAGTACAGGTACACACTATGGTAGGTCATTAGTGTAGTACAGGTAGGCACTATGGTGGGTCATTAGTGTAGTACAGGTAGACACTATGGTAGGTCATTAGTCTAGTACAGGTAGGCACTATGGTGGGTCATTAGTGTAGTACAGGTAGGCACTATGGTGGGTCATTAGTGTAGTACAGGTAGACACTATGGTGGGTCATTAGTGTAGTACAGGTAGACACTATGGTAGGTCATTAGTGTAGTACAGGTAGGCACTATGGTGGGTCATTAGCGTAGTACAGATAGGCACTATGGTGGGTCATTAGTGTAGTACAGGTAGGCAATATAACCCTGTGTCTGTGTAATGGACAAAGTACCGATGCTGAACGTTGCGACAAATGCACCAGGCTCACCTTACCGCACGCTGATCAACTCCGCTGTACTGAAGCTGCAGGAGATGGGAAGACTGCAGGTGCTGAAGCAGAAGTGGTGGAAGGAGAAGAGGGGCGGGGGAACCTGCGAGGTAACACCGCACTCCCACGCCCACATTATGTTTTCCCCTCCATGCCCACACCTTTCTTACCACGTCAACACATTCCTTCTCCCACGCCCACTCCTTACTACGCTCATTCTTTCCCACGCCCATTCCTTCCCACGCCCATTCCTTCCCCACGCCCATTCCTTCCCATCCTTCCCGGCCATTCTTCCCCCCATTCCTTCCCGGCCATTCCTTCACTCCATTCCCCCACGCCCATTCCTTCCCTCCCATTCCTCCCCTGCCCACGTCCTCCCCACGCCCACGTCCTCCCCACGCCCACCTGATCATCATCACCATCACACACATCATGACCCCGGACTACCAAGATCATCTACAGTTCCTCTTAAGACAGTTCCTCTCCCTTTACTTCCTTTGAGATTAGATTTTTTGGTCTCACTTTTATTTATGACAGCTCAAACAAATACATCTGCTTGCTTGCATGACACCCACCAATCAGTATATATATATTTCTGTTTCTATTTACTGTCTGTGGTCTACTATCTTGGCCTTCATAACACATACCCTACAACAAGGTGTCATAGCTTCCTGTACCCTGACAGTCTGGCATCCCTCAGCTTGCACTAGAGTTCTCTGCTCTTATTTAGATACCCCCTCCCCACAAAAAAAAAACTTGCTCATATCTCGCAACTTCTTAGAATCAATTACATTTTCCACTGCATTTCTCCTCCTCCTGACTTGCCTGGACTTGACACTGATTATTTTCATTCATCCACAGGCCTCGTCGTATAATATGGGATTGTTACTCCCATTAAAAGGTTTTTTTATAGATGAGTTCCTTATACAGGCTCACCCTACACGAACGCCATCTCCAGGGCAATCCTGAGCTTGCAAGAGGGAGGAAAACTGCAGGCACTTAGGACGCGCTGGTGGAAGCAGAAAAAGGGAGGGGGGCAGTGTAAAGTAAGAAGTCAACCTGTTTTGGTGTGTTACTTAACATTTTTGCTAACACCAGTAACTTATCCCATCATTGCTAGTAAATAATAAGTATCCCACCACTGCCACCAAGTTTTCTAAACCTTCCAGCTACTCTTGTGAGTTTAGACTTTGAGTCCCACAATGATGATGAATTGTAAAAAAGTATCTCTTAAGTTTTATCTTTATGTTGTAGACTTTGAAGGAACATAAAGATTGTGTTTCAGTTGTTTTCCCCAAGTAGACGTCAAAAGTGTCATTCAAGAGAGACACTGATAAGGTACAACAGAGGCTAAACTCACTATAAAATTCCCCCAAAAGAGAATAATAAACGTAACCCTTCAGTGTATTATAAAGCCAATCCAGCTATGAGCTAAACGTCCACCTAAAGCAGCTGTTGTCGATGTTCAGTATATAAGTCTATCAAGAACTGTCCGCAGCTACCCTTGAGATTATTCTTACTTCGGTAGTGAGTAAAATACTTTAGAGTTGTCAGCATCACTAAGACTTTTTTCTGATTCCTGAAGAAACACTGAAGCCTGATACTTATAGTTTTGAACCTTATAAAAAGTAGACAATAAAAGAACATAATTAATTAACTCGTCCATCCGACATTTTTATAATTCCTTAAAGTTCGTGAAATTATGATAACAATAGTATTTTAAAAGTAGTATTGTCCTGCATGTTTATAAAGCAACACCATTAAAGACAGGAACTTATCTATTAATTGTTTTCCACTCAACTTCTTTCCAACATTTCTTAAATTGATCCACGTAAGTTATAAGCTTTAACCCTCCCTCCATCGGCGTCACGCACGGTAAGAGAACCTGTTTATAGTGTCCTGCTCCAGCGGTGGTTTTAGAGTAAGACATTAATTCTGTATGTTACTTTAAGTCTATTAATCACAGTAGAAGACTCGTGTGCCAAAGATGCCTAATACAGCCACAGTAGCAAGACAAAGAAGCTCTCCTGTAACACTGTCAACGCTAAGTGGCCTTATTAATCACGTAAAGCTTCAGCTCAAACCAGAAACGCAGATGAATGAAAAAGCTAAGCATGAAACTAAGCTTGAATGAAATTCTTAAGGGGAAATTGGGGTAAATGTTCACTTTACCTCCGCTGGTTTGTTTTGGTGGAACAAGGGAAATAAATACGAAGGTGAAAACCATTTATGAAGAAGATCAAAGGGAACCACCAAATGTAACCTCTAACCTAACCTAACTATTCCTGGGTTAAGTCAGGTGCGTGTGGTCCATGCCGTCTGTTTCATAAATGGGTTTTCACATTTGTTTTCTCCCTCCCCGTCCGGATTTGCATTCTATGTATTAAAACAAACATATCAGGGAGACGCCGCCACATATATATAAAAAAATAACAAAAAAATATCAGAACTCACTTGAACATTTATGGAAATATTATAACTGACTGCCCTAAAAATATAATTGATATAGACAGGTAAAATAATGATGCATACTACTAAGGTATTAAATCAAGCATGTAATGGTTATGCAAATTGAAAATCAAATTACCAGCCTTTCCAAACAACAGTCTTGGTACATTATTTAACACTATTTCTTTTGTTTTTTTAATAGCCTCCATAATAGTGTCCATTTCGTGCAGATCAACACACACACACACACACACACACACACACACAAACACACACACACACACACACACACAGCATGGCGTCCCGTCAGTCTCTACCAACGTCCACTCACTAGAATAAACAGTCAGTCTAAAAACTCGAGGAAAAAATCTCTTATATTTTCCCCGGATGACAGTAACTTAAATATTTTACTAGAGGTTATTTATGTCGCGTCTAGGGACAGTCACAGTTTACCGGGTTTAGATTCGTTCTGTGACCTAAACTTTACAGTAAATAAGAAGTAATAAAATACGAGGAAGAGTAATTGGTCTGTATATTCATTATTGACGCTTCTGTACGCATGGTCTTGTTGTCAGAATTTTAAAATCTTATAAAATACATTACACTATTTTTAAGTAGTGTGTGTGTGTGTGTGTGTGTGTGTGTGTGGTGACCAGTCAGTCATGCAGCCTGACCTTTTTACCCTTGCCATAACTCACAGTTAGGTCAGCTAGTTAATGTACCCAACCCTAAAAGGTGTTCCGTGTAGGTCGTCACTCGTGAAGGAACTCAACCATAGTCCTGCCTTCCTACCACAGGGCTCTACAAGTGATGGTTCTCTCTATACAAGTTCAGAAAGAGAGACTCAGATACCGAAAGAGAAGGAGAGAAAGGTGAGAATAAGAGAGACAGTTAAGAAAGGCTGAGAATGACTGAGAGACAGACAGAACGATTGGGAAATAGAGAGACAGAAAAGCTGAGGATGAGAAAGAGGCAGCGTGTAGGTATTGCATATTTAAGTACACACACACACACACACACACACACATCCCAGCAACCTCACCTTAAACAATAAAACACACAAAGGTAAACCACTCGTATTTCAGACTTACAAACAGAGAGACGGATGGGAGATAAGAGTCGTAAAAAAACTATTCCTAATTAATATAACAAATGAAATAGCAAAGTAATAGCAAAGTTATATTGTCTTTGTACTCTGTGGGCCACCTTATCTACCTAACGAGTAGTTGTATTATTGTTGTTGTTGTTGTTTTGTTGTTGTTTTTGTGGGAGTTGATGTTGAAGGATTTCTGTGTGTAGTGGAACTGTCAGAGATGTATCGAAAAGATGTGTAGTGATGTGTGGAGTGGTATTGTGGTGTGTGGGGTGGTGTTGTGGTGGTGTGTGGGGTGGTGTTATATTGTGTGGGGTGGTGTTATAGTGTGTGGGGTGTTGTGGTGGTGTGTGGGGTGGTGTTATATTGTGTGGGGTGGTGTTATAGTGTGTGGGGTGGTGTTATATTGTGTGGGGTGGTGTTATAGTGTGTGGGGTGGTGGTGTTGTGGTGGTGTGTGGGGTGGTGTTATATTGTGTGGGGTGGTGTTATATTGTGTGGGGTGGTGTTATATTGTGTGGGGTGGTGTTATAGTGTGTGGGGTGGTGTGTGAGGAGGGGAGACAACGTTGTAATGCAGACAGTGTATGTTTTGGGTGAGCTGGAATTCTGTGTGTATATTGAGTTAAGGAAGGTTGGTGACCACAGCGAGTCTGGCGAGATAGACTTACGCTTCTCCAGGGAATGTGACGACTGAAGTTACGCCGAGTTGTGTCCAGTTATTGTTGTGTTAGAGCTATCAAGACGGCTGGCCTGGGGCATGTGTCCTGGGTAAAGGTGTTTATTTACCATTTTTTATTATATTCTAAAAAAAAAGTTCTTTAGTTCTCTTTGTTTTGTCTGTTCGTTTGGTCTGTTGGTGCCTTTAGCGTCAACAATTCTGGATATCTTGTTTTCCCAAGTGAATCAGACAAGACTGAGGAGGAACTGGTAAAGATTTGGGGCCAATTTTTTTCTTCCTTGGTGAATGTCATCAGAAAATTTGATCTCTGAACAACGATTTTTTTTTTCTCAATTTTCTCATATTAATTCTGCATTTGTTCTCTCGTCAATGAAGTTATCTTTAAGTTATCTTCGAGTCATCAAGTAGAACAAACTGAAGGTTATATTGAGACCATAAGGAGGAAGTAGATCATTCTTGTTGAAGGATAAATCAAAGCATGTGTGAGTTTTAGCTTGAGAGCTTTAAAAACAAAGTGACGCCATTAAACTCTTATCTACACCCTATCTTACCCTCCGCTGCTCCTGTACAACAACTGCTTGGTGTAACTCACAACAACACATTAGATACTAGTTCTCTGTCAGTAATTTATCTTACTTTTACCTATTGGCTACCCTAACTAGAGGTGGCCATACCGACTTAAGGTCAGTGGTCTTTGTTCTTGGCGGTCTAAAGGGACTGTTTTGGAACCCAATACTGTTTACGCTTTCAGAGCTTGAGCTGGTAGACTGTTCCATAGGTCTACCAGTCTCTGTGTGAAGAACTATATCCTTATATTAGTCATGCATGACACCTTGGCGAGCTTAACATTGTGTTCCCTCGTGTTGGTGGAGCGTGAATCAAAAAATGACCCAGGTTCACGTTTTCCAACCCTTTCAATATTTTTAATGTCTCTGTAAGATCCACCCTATTGTTTCTTATCTAAAGAGTTGTTAGTCCTTATTCTTGTCTCAGCACTGGTCGTAGTTATGAATCACAGGTAACTCTCAGGTGTTACGCCTTGATAATTACGAGAAGGTTTCGTTTCAGAGAAACACATCCTAGGCTATTATGTTTAAGATAAAATATCACATAAATAATTGCTGATTATTATTAGTAGTAGTAGTGGTAGTATATTATTATTATTATTATTATTATTATTATTATTATTATTATTATTATTATTATTATTATTATTATTTTTATTATTACTACTACTGCGCTATTAATTTATATCCCAATTTTGTTCTCGTTACAATTAGTATCTAGTCATCCTTCTCGGTAACAATAAACCACGGCATAAAATAACACGTAAACCGGCATCATAAAGTAATATTAGTGTAACGTGAGCATGTGAGGATGGCAGCATGTGAGGATGGCAGCATGTGAGGATGGCAGCATGTGAGGATGGCAGCATGTGAGGATGGCAGCATGTGAGGATGGCAGCATGTGAGGATGGCAGCATGTGAGGATGGCAGCATGTGAAGATGGCAGCATGTTAGGATGGCAGCATGTTAGAGTGAGAGCCACACACTAGGCCAGGTCGTACCATAAGGGAACGCCACGCCACGGTAAAGACCAAACGTTCGTCTGGCGTTTCGCTGGTCGGAAGGAAGACACCAAAGGCACTGTTGACTGCTGGCGCTCGTTTTATGGTACGGTCTCTCGAGCTCTTGTTCCGGTTGTTGCAAGTTTGTTTTTTTATGAGATCACTTGCACGGTGCTACTGACGTAATTTAGTGCTGCACAAACATCAAGTTTCTAGTGTTCTTGTACGGTGTTCACTTTGTTATCGTAGCCTCTGTTCACTAACACTGTTCTCCTGCCTTGCCTGTGCATATCCTCCTCACCTTCACCTCATAACTCACAATTTATTAGAGTATAAGTTGCACTGGTTGAATATCACATTACCACAGTTAACATAACACACTCTCTTATGACACTTTGGTAAATAATATTCCTGATGATGTAGAACAATAACAATATTCCTTAAGATGGGTTAATATTATTTCGTGTTTTTTTTTTATTAATTAGATTCAATTTTCACTTAATGCCACTAACAGTATATATATCAACAGTATTTATCAAAAGTATATATCAACAGTTTATATCAAGAGTCGTTATAAGGAATTAACAATATTAAGTAAACTATAATGAAGTCAATTATTTATCAGAAATTAATTTATTATAGAGTCGTAATTTAGTCAGGACTTTCCCTATGTTCCAAATGTTGTTTTAAGATTTCATAGTCTTCTAAAATGATCAAATCTATTAATGTTCTCATAAGCTAAATAGTTCTTCCTTGTTATTCATTTTCTAGAGTTGATTGATAAGTTTATTCTAACTCCAACACAACTACTTTCTAAAATATGTAAAAAAAAGTTTGAGAGAGGAAATTAATATTTTTTTCTTTTTTTTTATATTTGTTAGACAGATCCAAGAGTAACTTCAGATGAGGTTTTATTTGTTGCCTTAATGAGTACGTTCGCTAGTCCTCCCCTTAATAAATCCGTGCACTAGCCCCCCTTTAAATCAAGTCATGTATAAGATCCCCTTTATAAAACCATTCTCAAAAAACCCCCCTTAGATAAATTCGTGCACCAGTCCCCCCTTAGATAAATTGTCCACTAGTCCCCTTTTAAATCAAGTCGTTTATTAGATTCCCTTTATAAAACCAGGCTCTAGAACCCCACAAAAGCGACCTATAGTAAACCCCACCCCCCAAAAAAGTGCACTACAAGACCTCCCTTTGTAATACCGTGCACTTTCCCCACTCGGTCCCCTTAAAAAACAAATGCACTTATTCCCACTTGGTCCCCTTAATAAACAAGTGCATGCCCCCCTCCCTCCCCCCATCGGCCCCTTGAGTCACTAACTAGCTCCTCTGTATCAGGATGACGAGTCTAAGAGCTCATCGAAAGCCAATGAACTGGGGCTGAACAACGTGGGAGGAGTGTTCGTGGTGCTCCTCGCTGGGATGGGTTTGGCCTCTGTCGTCGCCGTGTGTGAGTTCGTCTGGAAATCAAGAAAATTGGCCACTGAAGAGCACGTGAGTCTAACCTGGAATCAATATCTATTTTGGTTTTTGTTATGGGTGAGAGAAATATATTTTGTGTATAGATAGAAATATATTTGAAAGTTGTTTATTGTTGTGGTTGATTGTGCTTTTTGCCCTTGGAGTTTCAATTTGTGTTTTAGTTAAAAAAATAAACTCTGTTTTTGTTTTAGTCTTAACAAGCACCGTCAATTTTATCTCAGTTGTTTTTAATCTGAATTTTATTCCGTTGAATTTTATATATTGAATTATAAACCGACAGAGCCGCTAAATAAACATCTATATCTCGTCGACAGCTGTACACGTGAACCACCCTTGTGTAGTAGTGTGTTAGATGTTAAAATTGAATGTTCGGTGAACCGGAACAAAAGAACACCGACAGCGTGATCGATCCCGGTAATTGATCCTGATTGTGTATCATGTAAACAAAAAAAAAGTATAAAAGAAAATTATGAAAAGGGTAAAAAAAAAAGTGTATAAACGTGTAAAAAAAAAAGCCGTATATTATTGATCAATGATAATAAATAATCGTCAGCTTCTATTTTTAGATACGTGAACAAGGGAGAAACGTATTATATCTTTATTTAATATTAATCTATTACACGTAAGATACTTCGACTGACCATATAATCTCGATACCCTATTAATAGCATCTAACTCACCTCCGTCCAACCTATTACGCTGTGAGCCTTTCCCTTTACGCATCTACTAAAACCATGTACCCTCAAAAATCTTCCGTAAGAGGTCTTGCCATAACCTGCTCTAATCTCCTCCTCACATCTATAATTACTTTCATCTGAGGTCGACACTTTAGACCTTATTTCCACGTCTATTTTTTCTCTTTCATGAATAATATCTTAATGCCTTAAAATATTATACAAGATTCTTTATTATTATGGCTCTTGTGTTTAGCATGGAGACCAGGACGGGAGCCATTACTTCCGTCTTGGTGGCTCCATGTAACTATTAACCCTATATAACTCTGTGCTTAACCTGTGCTCTTCTATTTACAGCTTCATTAAACTTTGAGCTCATTAACTTGTCCAACATTCACACTCTGAAGCTTTCCAACACACACACACACACACATACAGGGACGACACCTTACCCTCGCACTGCTGTACCCACTACCAAGCATTCTCCTCCCCTATATACCGCCAAAGGAACTAACTTGCTATTCCCTCCGACACGTTTTTCCTCCTCATTTGATATAAAACAGTAACTTTTTTCCGCTAATAATCGAATTCTTTTGCTTAGTCATAAAGTTGTCAAGGAAATATGGACATCAAGATCCGCTAAATTTGTGTAGAAGATTGGAATTTCCCTTAGCGTAGCACACACGGCGATCTACTGTAGTTGTTACCTGAAGTACTGCATTTTGAAGGTAGATCAACACCACACAGCTAACCATAAGCAACCTCCCCTCCCCTCAAAAATAAAAATCAAATCACCAAGATCGTTTATGCTGTTTTGTTTGTCAGTAGAATATACCAACACTGAACTAAAGAAATAATAGATAGCAGTGTGAGTATGTGACAGATAATACTGTAGTACATGTAAGGGTCTGGGTGTAAAGTATTACCACAATGTCACCCTTACATTCCTCAGAAATACACGAAGACGTCGGTCACTGATGAGAGTTCTCCCTGTTGCTTCTTGTGTACCTCTGAAAAGCACACGACTGACACCACCTACGAGGAGTGTGGACCCCAGTTGACTGGTCGTATACCTACCCTTAGCCTTGAAATAATGTAAACACTCGATGCTATAGATATCATTTAAATAAACATCTAGCAACTACCAGACCTCAATAACAACAGTCCGACTGAACATACATGACCGAACACAATCCTAAAAAGAGACGAAAAAAATCAATAAAAAAAAAGTCTGAAAATGAGAGAAAGTTCCCTGTATAGAAGCCCCCGTGTGCCTCCCTGTGGAAGTTACAACAACGCAGACGACCCACAAGCACTTACCAATTTACTATCCCCAGGCTTCCGTTTGGACAGAAATGAGTAAGGAACTCAGGTTCGCCCTCTCCTGCTACTCGTCCTCCAAGCCCGTGAGGAAGAAACCGCCGGAGCAGGAGAACGGACCATCCTTCCTCTCCATGAACACCTATGACTCCACCTACACCACCTCGCAGTATTCCTTCTCATCTAAGGACCCAGTCTCATGACAGCTACCGGTGAGTCTCATGACGGTAGCTGGTGAGTCACTTTTCCCATGACAGCTACCGGTAAGTTGCCTTTATTAATGACTACAGTGCATTACGTTACTCTGTGCTACCTGGCAAATGTCCCTCGTCTGTAATCTAAATAAGTTACCTGGAAGTCCAAGTAAAGTACCTGGAGATTCATTTAAGTTGTCTTTGTGACCTGGATGTCAGTCACGTCACTGCCAAACAGGTACAGGTAATTATGTCTTTATTTCCTCATTAACTCTCCCCGGACTTACCTGTAAGTTGTTAGTAAACTGGTAAGAATAGAAGACTTAACTAAATGGTAAACTGAGGCTTCTATACACTCAGCACGCATTATTCATGAACTTCAGAATGAATAATGCATATTTCTCATGAATTACAAAATGGTAGGGATGCGGCGGTCGAGTGAATAAAATACTCGACTCCTGCCCTAAGGATTGCTGGTTCACGTCCTAGGCACCCCCAGTCCACCCAGCTGTGAATGGATACTAAATTTTACACCCGGGTTTGGAAGTGGTCGCGTGTAGTACCGGTTACACTACTCCATGATATACGGAAGACTTTGTATTCAATGTGTTGTGTCCACGCTGCCCCCTGTCGGACCCTCAAGCACTGTCACATGTGTTAGGTGTTTGATCACTGATTCTTGTGATTCTTGTATATGATTTCAGTTGTGGTCTATGCGCCACCTCTTCCTGGGTCACACCTGTATGCGGCCAGCCTGTCACCCCCGTCTCTACTATGTCCCTTCATTTATTTCCTCTGACTCTTCTTCACTTCGTCTCTTCACTTTTCATCTCTGACACAACTTCACTTCCTCTCTAACACCTCTTCACTATGTGCCTCTCCTCTGACTCCTCTTCATTGTGTGCTTCAGGAACCGGCGAATCAAGAGTCGTCAGAAAAGCTCGGGCCAGACGACATCCCGACACCCCCTCTGGTGGCGGCCAGGAGCAACCAGTCCCTAGACCGAGTGTCCCGTAGGTCCGCGCCCCCAGCCACCCCTGAGTCCACCCCTGAGGTCCAGCAGGAGACCCCCGGGGGCCTCCAGTCTCCCGACCTTCCCTTCCAGCTGATCTCCACAGTATGACACTAGGGCAGCCTAGGTCATCGTCGTCGACCCCCTCGCCACACAGCCATCACCCACATAGCGCGCTCTCAGCTTTAAAGTAAAAAAGAAGAGAATTATTAATCATTATTATAAGTTTGGAAGAAGGTAAATGTTATTGTAGTTCCTGAAGACGGTAACAGCACTCATCATCACAGTTCTACAATACCAGTTTGTATGTGGAGTCGTGTGTGTTATGTTGGTCGCAATATTTGACTGATCGTTGTCTTTCATAATGACTATACTTGTGGTGCCAGAGTATAGATGGAGCAGTTGTCGTACGGCTTAAAGTACAACTTTCTGGGTCAAGTTTGAAAGCCTGAATTAAGGAAATTGAAAATCTATTTTCGTAAATATATCATCCAAGAATAAGTGTAACACCAATTTTCCTGAGTACTAATCTCGGTATTACGTGTGATAAAGTGCTGTTACCTGTGATGTATAACAAGAAATTGCATTCATATCTGAGCATTTTCTTTTTTTCATAAACAAACTATAAAACAATAGAGTTAGAAACCTATTTTTGCAGCCGTGGATCCTTTGAGTAACTGGTGTAATGGTTGTGGAACACAGAGGAAGACGACGCGGTGGCCTAGGTATTGTACACTGTCTCATACCATCACCTCACCTCAATATGATCGCTCAACAAGAAGCAATATTCACATAACTCGAATCTTTACAACACATTAACGCTTTTGACATACGATTTCTGACTGCCAGAGCTTAATCAAATTTAGTAAGAAAAAAACCGAAGACTTAGAATTGCAAGATAAGTGTGAATAACTAGACAACTTACAAACAACGTCACTTGGATCATCTTGGTTACGTGAGTTAGTTGGAGTGTTTACGTATGGCAATTATCTTCATCATAGCTGCGTGTAGGACCACCAGTGACCCCTTCCCCTTACCACATCCATCATGTTAATATGAACGTTATGTGAAAGATGTTGTCCCAGCTGTCAGTGAGCGTGGAGAGGCAGGATGTTTTCGTCCCAGCTGTCTGTCGGTGAGCGTGCAGAGGCAGGATGTTTTCGTCCCAGCTGTCGATGAGCGTGCAGAGGCAGGATGTTTTCTTCCCAGCTGTCGGTGAGCGTGGAGAGGCAGGATGATGACAAATATAATTAGGAACATAAACTCTCAGGATATGACTGCGACGATAAGCTAAACTAATCCATTTGTTTGTTACGTCATCCTTTGTTTATGTGGTGAGCTTGTAGCAAGACTCATTTATAAGTGACGAAAAACAACAAGAATACCATCAACATAAGCCACATTGTGTTTACAGTTCGTGTGTATCATTAGACTCTACCTGTACTAAATTAATTCTGATATTTTATAAGTAATAGGAAATCATACAAGGACATAAAGAGATCCAGTTAAATACATTAATATATTCTGCAATAAGTTTACGGATGTTATTTTAGTGAAGTTTAAGATACGTAATGTTTCCAAAATAAACTTTGTCATTACATCTGGCGAGATTAACAGTTCGGTCCTACAGTCATTCAGTCACTCTGTCAAAAACTTTCGTAAATTTAAGCATCAAACTCGACTTTTTCTCGAGATAAGTGAATATATGTTGTGTGTCTGTACCTGTTATTGTTCTTGGTTAAGGTGTATCATGAAAAACATTACAGCCTCAAGAAATAAAGTTTTTGACAGTGTGAAAAGTTAAATCAAACTTCGAAAATAGAACGAGACTTTTCTTAGATGTTAAAGTGTTACATAAAACAAACTTTTATACTTAAGGAAATACATCATTCTATGCATCACAACTGAACATCCAATATTGAGGGTTTTTTCGTGAAACAATAGACCACAGGACCAAGAGAGTTGATCTTGCCACATGTGCCCAGGGACCAATCCTACTACTGTCATAGGTAATACTTGGGAGGGCGACACACCCTCCAGGAGGAAGCTGTTCTCTCACCACGCTCAAGTATCAGAGCGTCTCGGTACGTCTCGGTGACCCACGTGTCAAAGGTCAATACTGATCTCACTCTGGTGTCGTAAATTTATAACAGGTCACGTGTTGAGTGGTAGTTCATGGCTGACATAACCTTGTTGTTACTGTTGGTATGTTAACAAGATGTACAACTCTTCAGTGCGGAGATGAGGTTCATACAGTCAAGTGTTATATGTGAAGCATTGATTTTAAAAAGTCCACAGTATGTATTGGTAAATAATATGAATAGTTACAAGACACAACCAAATTCTCATATCTGACGCCAATAACACGAAAGACACTGCAGAAGGTGATGCCAACAGCGACTGGTATAAAGGTTGTCACTGGGCTCGACCACGCAGGTACTGATCACCGCGGGAAGGAAGACTAAGTTATCATATTGAAGAGGACAATTTGTGTGAGTTTTGTAATACGGAACAAAAAAAAAAGAGGAAATTTATATATTTGTACTGTAAGTCTGTCGCTAACACAGCTCTTGAACCATGGCTCAAGATGCTATGAGCTGTAAAGTAACTTGTATACATTCGTCTGTGTGACGCCGCGACACATGACTGGTGATACATAGGAAAAAATTAATTAAGAAAAATACATCTGAAAAAGACTGATAAGTATACCCAAGTGAGTAAGAGCTCGGGGTCACTTTGTCTACTTCTCGCCTCAAATGTTTGGTAAATATTTTTCTCAGTGAGGGAGAGCTACTTGACGCTGGCCTCTGCAATAACGTTATAGTGCTATACATTAGTTACTTTTTATAGAGAGAGAGAGAGAGAGAGAGAGACTGTTAATGCTTGAAAATTTTCTACGATTTTAGGATCTGGGGAAAGTCTGTAGTAGTGACGGACTCGCTGGATAACATTTCTTAATATTTTTGTTTTTAATTGATAATATGAGAGATGATCCGTCACTTACTACACAGAGTCACATGTTGCGAATTGTTGAGTGTTGAGTGTTGTCCCCGGGTAAAAAGAGTTTTATACGTAAACTTTGCTGTTATGTGTCGCCGCTACCACACCACCCACTCCTCTTAGACACACCAAGAAAATTTGAAAATTTTACAAAAAAAAATGATTAATAACTATACATGTAATACTGTCCCTAAAAAAATGTTGTTCTATGTTAATTTTAGTTACAAAATACTGAAGTCTCTCCTGTAATTCTTAACACACACACACACACACACACACACACACACACTAACCAAACCCGGTACACTCCTGAGGCTGGGTTCCACACTAGCCACTAATGCTACACCTTCCTGATACACACCTCTGGAGCCTGGTGAGCTAACTGTGTACCTGACCAACACCTACACCCCATCATCATGTCTTCCCCTTTATGGAATTTGGACTGAATTAATACAAGACTTTCCACTGATCTTACTTTCCTTAATACTTAACCAACAACGGTACGACACTTAAGCTAACCTAACCTAGTGAAATGTAACCAAACGTAACTTAAGTGAACTAATATAACCTAAGTAAACTAACTAACATAACCTAAGCTAACCTAACCTAACATAAGCTAACTATCACATAACATAAGCTAACTAACTCATCACATAAGTTAACTAACATTATATTGGTGAACTTAAATAACTTCACCTAATATAACATTAATAACCTAACCTAACCTTTAAAAAAATGTGACCTAATGACCTAAACTAATAGAACGTAACCTGACATGACCTGCAGTAGGAAGGTTATATCCATCAACAGTGCCACAGGGACCTTCCACTCATACCTGAACCATACGAGCACAAAAATAAATGAACTCAAATATATGTTGCTTAATCTCTCTTGACATGAAGGTTTGTCTTTTTTTTACGTTGTCAAATATTTTTCGACTAGTGAAAGGTGACCGGCTACACACACACACACACACACACACACACACACACACACACACACACACATTCTACCTTCATTCGCTCTCAGTCTATTCACTCTTACTGCCTCTGACACTTGTTTTGTTATAGTGATAAGTAAGAATTGAATGAAAGACACCAAATGAAGAGAGAGAGAGAGTGTATATATATATATATGTGTGTGTGTGTGTGTGTGTGTATGTGTGTGTGTTTGCGTGTTCATAATTCCAATCACTTTACAATACATGAACAACAAAATTATAAAACAGTACAGAACACACATTATTTTCTCAACACCTGCTAACCCAACAACACTACCTGATACAACACCCAGCACAAGGAACACTCAACTCAAACTCCCTAAACACACGAACGAGACAATCAATATTAAACACCATCACCGCCAACTCAACACCATCACCGCCAACTCAACACCATCACCGCCAACTCAGATAATCCAGGAATTTGTCAGGAAAACAACACAAAACAAACACAAAACTCACAACACAGACTCCAGAGGTGTTACTATATATAAAATCCTTCATATGTTAATGTACATAAGTTGTTGGTAAACCATGTAATGTAATTGTTATTGAAGACTGAAATATAAAAAAAAAAGTTGAGATGCAGGAAAAATTATAGGAACCCAATGTTTACTTTTGCGTTGCTCATCCTCCTCCTGTTGACGCCGACGACCTTCTCTCGCTGGTAAAGAAGACTACAACTCCTCTCTGTATTATAATGCCTCTTACTCTCCATTTGTATACGACATGTACCAAATAAAAGAAAATTATAAGATCTCTTTATTTTCATTCATTCATAATAATAACACACAAGACGTAGTTTATTTCATAGTTTGTATTTCACTTAGAGATTAATACTGATTTACAAACAATGATACACCTGGTGGATATACCTGTTCTCTTACATTATCTCTGGATGATGATGAAGGCGTCTGAAATTTTGCACCTGTCGAATTACCTGAGCTTTCATTGACGTCATCCAAGGCTTGTATGGCCATTTGACACTTAAACAAAAACTTCAAGGGTGTTTTTTTTTTAATCAAACATCTAAAAATATGTTCAGTATCAAAGGTCCTCTACCAGGGAGGAAGGGGGCGGGTGAAGAGGATCAGGGAGAAGGGGGAATCAGGGAGGATTAGGGAGGTAGAGGGTCAAGGTGGAGGAGAGTCATGGTGGGTCAGGGAGAAGGAGAGTCAGGAAGGTGGGACGATCAGGGAGGAGAATAGAGTTAGCCCATTGAGTCTCAAGACAATAACTCAAGATGAACCCAACAACCAGATCATCACACCTGTTGTAAGTCACCTGTCCAATTAGCCGCCACACTGCCACAACGCAACACGTATATACAAATCTTCTGGTAAACACAAAACTAAAGAGAACATGACCTTGTGATTTAAATAATATATGATAACCTGATAATGATTGTATGTTATCTTAAACCCATCTGAAATTTTGGTCTCTGTATAAACATCATAAATATCAAACAACAATGAACCTGGTTTCAGTCGATGCCAAAGGAACTGTACCATGGAGGAGGTCACTTGTCTTCCTTAGCTGTTATATAAGGTACAGTGATAAGGAATGTAGTATGGAGAGTTACAGGTCTTTGAGTACAGAGAAAAATGGGATCATACACAAAAAACTCAAGGAAGAGTAAAAAAAAAAAAAACACGAGTAATTACTGAGGAGGTAAAGACATGTATCTCCGCCATCTTGAATAACTTCCACAACAACAACAAAGACGACAACAGAAGCAACAACAACAACAACAACAAACACGACAACAGAAGCAACAACAACAACAACAACAAACACGACAACAGAAGCAACAACAACGACAACAAAGACAACAACAGAAGCAACAACAACAACGACGATAAACTCAAAGTACAAATCTTATTGTAACATCAATACTAAATATAGCCTTAACATGATGGCTTAATTACTTAACACAATTACAAGTTTCATTACGCCGCCCCGTTTAGCTGGTTCATGGGCCCTTCGTCCTCATCTGGTCGGCACTAACAGTAAGATTCAGGCCTTTTTTAATCGCCGTTTAGTGCTCGTAATTCCCATCTGGTCATAGCAGCCATTGTGTCTCGTCCCAAACTACCACGGTCATTCAAACTGTTCCATCCTGTTGCCTCTGTTGTGTATTCCTGTGTCTGTGTCTGTGTGTGTTACGTGTTCCTGGTGTTTCTTAATGTGTGTTACGTGTTCCTGGTGCTTGTTACTGTGTGTTACGTGTTCCTGGTGCTTGTTACTGTGTGTTACGTGTTCCTGGTGCTTGTTACTGTGTGTTACGTGTTCCTGGTGTTTGTTACTGTGTGTTACGTGTTCCTGGTGCTTGTTACTGTGTGTTACGTGTTCCTGGTGCTTGTTACTGTGTTACGTGTTCCTGGTGCTGTGTGTTACGTGTTCCTGGTGCTTGTTACTGTGTGTTACGTGTTCCTGGTGCTTGTTACTGTGTGTTACGTGTTCCTGGTGTTTGTTACTGTGTGTTACGTGTTCCTGGTGCTTGTTACTGTGTGTTACGTGTTCCTGGTGCTTGTTACTGTGTTTTACGTGTTCCTGGTGGTTCTTATTGCCTCATGTACACTACTAACATATCCCCTACATAAGCGTCCTCCTGTGTACGTTTACTGCTCCCCATGTGTACATTATTCTGTGTACACCACTCCAGAGCTCTACATTTCGAGTAGATGAGAAGGCCTGTGTGTACGTGACTTCTTCATGTACACCTCTCCAAATGTGTGTCTATTCCTCTTCGTGTCCTGTCCGTGTATGTACCTGTCATGTGCACCAGGACACAGGTCTACAGGTAGGGAGAGTTTCACGGTGTATCAGTCAAGAATAGAGGACAGGTGGGGGTGTCTGGTCCACTAATTGGACTCGCAGGTAACTCATTACCGGTCTATTGTGGGTCACTCTGCCGGCATATCCGATTTGTTTTCATTTATAACGACCTCCTGGAGCTCTTGGACCTACCTGCAGTGTCACGGAGCTGCTTAACCTGTGTGTGTGTGTCTGTCCATGACTCTTACTCTCTCTGTTGGTATTGTGAGACTGATGTTATATAATCAAGGAACTAATGTAATTTATTTTATTGTTCTAGTTAATGAAAAAATAGTTATATGACCCTCAGCTGGTCTTTGATTCTTATTTGTCGACCATGAAGTCATTAGAGTCTTAAACTTTTTTGAATAAACAAATTACTACAATATTTAATGATACTACAAGTTTCTGAAACATATCCCGGACCACAATACAACAGGTCTGATAGACGTTCTTCTCTACCTTTACCTGATATACAAATATATTAGTAATTATTAACGAGATATAGACAACAAATGACTTTATAAAATTATATACCATATATCTATCACCATATTGACCTAATTAACTAATGAATCATAGAGGTATTTCACTGATATAATTAAGTCAGTAATATAAAGGTTCTCTTAAATTCTCTTCATAATTACATTTCCTACCTGGCTAAATGATTGATGCTATTACCTTAATTCTGCATGAACAATGGCTTGTATTGCTGACAATCTGAGTCCTAATTTTTTTTGTCTCCCCACTGCGTCATCTCTCCATCATTAAGAAACTCATTTAATATTGGGCCATGTCATGTAAAAGTCGAGCTCTCTCTCTCTCTCTCTCTCTCTCTCTCTCTCTCGACAATAGGATTCACATTCTTAACATTACATTGGTCAGTAAATTCCTCTCCCTTCGCCTATCTATTCAGTCCACAATTTGATTATCTTAGAAATTAGTTATAAATGAGGCTATTTATCGTTGATTAGGGTAGGAAATCTGATCTAATTTTGCGTTATTATTATTATTTGTAGAAGGAGTAGGAGGAAGACTTGTTCTTTGTCTTCTTCCTCTCTTCTCTCTTTCGTTTTCATACTATCGCCTCTTTGTCTTTCTCACCCGTTTATCATGAATGCTTCCCCTCTTCTCTTATATTTTAATGTTTCCTTTTTTATCATATTCCTCTGATTAATCGTATTTACTTCTTGTTCATGGTTTCAGCTTACGACTTGTTTTTGTTTTTTTTTCCTCTCTTCTGTTCGTCTTCTCTCTCTCTCTCTCTTCCCTTCGGTTCTCAAGCTCTCGTGTAACTCATAAAGGTGAGGTTAAGGGTTTGAGCAGCGGACCACCACCTCTTCCTTACGGTAAAAATGAGGCCATCTGCTGAACATTCCACTGAGGTTGATCCCTTCCTCTCCTCTTCCTCCTCTTCATCCTCCTCCTCTCTCCTCCTCCTCCTCCTCCTCTTCATCCTCCTCCTCTCTCCTCTTCCTCCGATCAGCTGAAATGTCACAGGTCATCATTCTCTCAGTCTTCCTCCACCTTCCCTAGAGGGTGACTTAAGAATGTGCTTCTTCAGTCCCGCGTGTTCGAGAGGTGTGGAAGTGATGACTCAAAACAAAACAACAGCGAATTTCAACTTGATTTTCAGATGAGCATTAATGTATCGACCTCCTTCCGCCTGCTAGCCTCGACACCTACCTGGATACAGCTGATTTATAGTCATTTGTTGTGTTAATCTGATCATAATAAGGTTTTTTTTCATATCAGTCGACCACTTATGCTCGAGTACACGGGGTAGAGAGGGTAAAAATTAATCTCCTTGTCTTCTTTCTTCCTCGGGTCAAAGGTCATGTCTTGTAAGTCTTATTATGTCCACAATCTGATCTTTTTCATAACATGATAAAGTTTTTTGTTACTATTTATGTAGTATTTTTATATCATTTTATTTTCTATATTATAATTTTCCCCTTTATATTATCTTACAGTATAACCCTTGTTGTTCGTACGCTCCTTAACTATAGGTTATATAAACATAAAACATAATCCACTTTATAATATTGGAAAATTTACTCATACACTTAACTATCCAATAAATCAACATTATTATACTAGTGTTAATACTTTGGTTTACGGGACATGAAGAGAATTATCGAATATTTTATATGTGACCTTCTCTTGGTGGGTGAAGGGCGTGTGGTGGGTGACGGGCGTGTGGTGGGTGACGGGCGTGTGGTGGGTGACGGGCGTGTGGTGGGTGACGGGCGTGTGGTGGGTGACGGGCGTGTGGTGGGTGACGGGCGTGCTGCTGCTTCCAGGCTCCAGGTCAGTGTGTGTATTTAGTGCCTCTCTCATTTATCTTTACCTGTCTCACCCATTTATTCTAGACCTCGTCTTTCCAACACCTGAGCATCCATGTGTCACCTCTTTTTCATCTTCATTACATCTACGTCATCCATTCATTCATTACCTCAAGTTCTTCTTCACTCATCCATTTAACCTATCCATTTAACCTATCCATCCAAGGTCTATTCATCCACCTGTCGCATCAGCTTGAGTGACGCTATCTAGAAACACGTTGGCAAACTCGCTAGAAAATTAAATTGCAGTTCCTTGATTAAGAGGGAGAACGAGTGAGGAAGGAGAACGAGTAAAGGAGAAAAACGATTGAAGGAGAAGAATGCGTAAAGGAGAAGAACGAGTAAAGGAGAAAAATAAGTGAAAGAGGAGAACGAGAAAGCGGTTGTTGTTGTTGAAAGTTCTCTTGAAATCTAAACCGGCCAAGAATTTTATCGTTCACGAGGGCATCAGTGCAGACTCCTTCACTAGCAGGAGTCTCACCTCGGTTTTATTCATCAGACAACCGCCAGCACTGAAGTAGAGGTGAAGTATGTCGCTAAAAACCTAACTGCCGTCCTCCACTAACTGTACACAGACACACGTCACAAAAAATAG